AAGATTAAGAGACTTTTGTCTAGTAGGGTCCTCAATACAAAATATCAAAATCCAAGCCTCAAGATGTGAAATAGCTGAAAGACTAAAGTTTTAAAACCATTTCTGTAAAAGTGAAAGACTTTAGTCCGCTTCATGATGTTTTGCATCTTCATAGTGATCAAACTTGAAGCAGAAAAGGCAAAGCTCATTCTCCACAGACTCAGCAAGAGCATAAGCAGCTGTCTGAGGGCTGAAATCCTTCTCCTGTGTCTGGCATTTGCCACACTGCAGATCAAGTGCTGTGAGACTTGACTGGACACTGTCCTGACCTACCTGGTGTAGCCTGACCTGCTTTGATCAGGATGAGGGTCTAGACAACCTAGCCCTGGGGGGCCTAGAGGTCCCCTCCAAACTTGATTATGCTGTGATTCTACCTAGAAGCAGAATTGAGATTATTCCTCAGTTCAGATGGTACTTTCAGACTGAGAAGGGGACAGAAAGTTCCTCTACCCTTCTGAAAGGAGACATACACTGGACAGTCCCTAAAATCCTTATCATGCAAAAATACAAATAATTTCCAATGTATATTGCCAAGCATTTAAATAAAATCCTTGATACAGCTGGATGTCTGGGTAGCCTTTTCTACAAAGTCGTACCAAGGAGGAAAGCAACTCATATAGTTTCAAAATTTCTGAAATGTTCTTTAGCCTTGTAAACAGAACTATGGGTCCAGATAAATCAATACTCAATGCTCCATCTAAAATCTACCTGTGTCCAATGCAGTAGTAAGCAAAAACAGATTAAAAGCTTCAAAATGGTGTGAGTGCCTAATGTCTGCTGCAAATACTTTGAAAAATTAAAGCAAGAATTGCTATAACCCTGCTGCTCATTCTTAAAATGGAAATGAGGTTTTATTTATTCAGGTACTGTTTTACAGGCTTGGGAGCATCCAGGAACTGATGCTTCCCTGTCAATGAAATAGAAAGGCATCAAATGGTGGATATTTTCATATTATAACTCTATTACCATATACATGAATCAGACAGATTCCACAAATCTCATCCAAAATGGACAAAATGAAGTACAAACCCATAACCCCAGGTCCTTAATCTGATCCTTGCAATTATCTTTTATGAACCCAACTTTCAGAATTAAAGTCTTTGGGCTTCTACATTGGAATATGTTTCTCAAACCCCTGGGAAAAAAAAATGAGCTTATTTGGTAATTCTTCTAGATTTTCACTGCAGTATAAAATGGCAGACATTAACTTGACTTGGCAAAGAACTCATTCACTGCTTATAAGTATTTGCAGACAGCATAGGAAAATATATTACAATTTTGAAGATCACAGCTTAGCAAAAAGAAAAAAAAAAGTCTACTTATATTTGCATTTCCTTTTATTCTTTCACTAATAAAGTCTAGGTGATGGCATAATTCCTTACAGTCAAACCATCTGTTCATAGTAATTTTAGATAAGTCAGCAGTTACTGACTCTCCCCCATCTTTAGCTATGGCTTCTGTCTGGCTCCCTGTGATCAGCTGGAACCTTTAAAAGCTCTTAGTGAAATAAACAGAAATATTTTCTAAAAGAAAAATACAAGGTAATGCTTGAAGTGGCTGGTGAAGCAGCATTAGAAAGCTCTTGTACTGAAGCAGTTCTATGTGTCTGGATATGTCTCAGACTCTCCACTTGATTCAATAAAATTAGGATTATTCCCATAATTCATCTCTGTGAAACACTGCAAGGAAACGAAGATGATCTGTTCAGAAAACCTTGGGAAACATTATTAGGTTTAAAAATAAAGATACTATAATTCAGAGCTGTCTCTGAAGGATAATAGAGAAGCTGTACAGTCTATGCAGCAGCATTGCCACGTCTTCCTTCTGGTCAACTCAAATAAACATTGGGTTGCTGTGACCTGCAGTAGCTAAAACTATCAAGAAGTTTCAGTGCATCCCTTCATGCGCCACATCACTCATTTCCATGTGGAGATACAACATCCACAGGTGACAAGTGCTTCAGCAAGGAGAGATGATAATCACCACATCAAAATAAAAAGAAGCTGAGATCAACTTCATCACTCATATAAAGGTCAAAGTGGAGTCCCAAAGTACCTTTAGGTCATCAAAATCCTGCTGAAGTTTAACAAGAACACCCTGAGTCATCAGATCACACATTATTCCCTTAAATGATAGCAAACTACTCCCCAGACAATTTCCAGTACAGGCAACACCTCCACCTGAAATAGATTTAACTTCTACTTAACCTCTACTATTTACAATTCAAAGCAAAGTGAAAGCAAGGACATTCCACGAGGCAGATCATAAGAAGGGAGCAGAACTGTAAGCTGCCAAATGCTAATGTATGTCCCAATTAGCTGCAGCCGCTGCTGAGAGTGGGAGATGTATCAGCGCTCTCTAAAAAGCTACGAGCCAGAGCCAATGGGATGCATGGACAATATTTTATCATCTCAAAGCGGTGACCTGAATATCTTTACAGGAAGTGTGGGCCAAAAACTATTGTTAGCCCCTGAATATTCAGACTATGGGGACAATCTCAGGCAACAGCCCAACAGTGGATAAATAATCTCCAAGAGCTCTGACAGTGTGGCCAGGATGTTTTGGAGCAGAAGTAACTGAAACGCGGTCATCACCTTTTCCAGGAACTCTCATTTAAATGTAGCTCCTTACACTGAGAAAGAGAGGCTCTTCCCAGCCTGTTGTAAACTCAGCAATCTATAATTCAGCACAGTTTTAATGGCTAGAACAATTAACAGGAATATTTTTTCCTTCTAAGACAGTCATGAATGAGAGCTGAAAGTCTGGGGGGTTTTCAGTCCATTTTGTTTTCCTTTTGTAAACCTCTCTCTGCTGTTGATTATCCATGAGTATCTGCCAGCTCATACACTGAATGCTTCTTCCACATGCTTCATCCTTAGCTTCTGGGTAACCTGAGCACAGGATACCTGATTGCTGCAGCACTAACAACAAAAAACAGGATGCTTTAGTAACAATTTGATCACTCCTTTCAGTGCTTATGAAGCTTTTGGAACCAGTGGCATTCCACTATTTTCTGCAGGACGTTGAACTAGACCTTCTTAGGCTTATTTTAGTTTATACTTAGCTTGTTCTATACTATTAAAAAATAAAGAATACAAGTAAATAAAGGAATGGTAGAAACACGACTACTCTGAAATCAAAACTACAGGCAGGATTATGCATTCCATTAATCTTTTAAGTTCCTTACATGTGTCATACATTTAAAATGGATCATCATGCTTCCAACCCTTTCAGGTTGAATTTGTTTAACTTCTGGAGCTTTTTACCCTGCTCCCCCTGTCCTTGGGGTTTTCTGGGGATTTTTTTGGTGTGTGTTTGGGGTAGTTAAAATATAAATCTGCCTGCAATTTGTCAATATATTCCAGGAAAAGCTTACAATGTCCCACTCCCAACATGATTACAGGAAAGCTGATGATAAGGTGGCTTTTTCTCTGATATACAACATTTTATATTACACAATAAAGCTCTCACCAATTCTAATCACAATGGTATACTTCTTACTTTTTCAAAATCCTCTAAATACAGTCCTTTTCCATTAGGTTTATCTTTTGCTTGTCTTATGCTTCAGGAATTAAAGTTATTTAATGCTATGTGTCCTTCAAGACAATGTATTTTTAATAATACTAACAAAAAAGAAGTTGATCTGTAGAATATGGCTTAGTCTTAAGTCCTATCCTATGGCTATTTTGATACTCTAAGTATTCACCTTCCCTCTTAATAGCTGCCCATTATTTTAGTGACAAATATTAATTTGACAGGTTTATAGGTGCCTATTTCTTTCACCTTTTTGGAGAATTAGGAACATTATGATTTTCCACTCCAAATTTTGCTTGGGTGTCCTCCTTCATTCCTACTTTCTCAAACTTATTTCAACTGAATCACTTTGTACTCTGAAGCCTGCACAATTTGGATTAAATTTTCCAGCAATTTTTCAACATTTACTTACTTAATCTTTACCAGGATCAACTGACAGTTTTCCAAGTTTCCCCGCCATTTATAAGGTGAAAGACATATTTATACCCTGACTTTTGCCTTGTGGAACAAGTGCTACCTTGGTTAACAAGTGCACATGATTTCCAGTGACAGAAATGAAATTCAGCTGTCTTATCCAAGGACATGATCCAACTTTAGTTTTTGTCTCTAAAAGCACACTAAGTAATAAGGCATGGCTACTTGGCTTTTTCAGCCACCTTACAAGGGAAACTTCCCAAGAGAGCAAAACTAGAAAGAACTCCTTGAGACTGAGAATATTTAAAGAACATTTATAAGAATTTTCTGTGTGAACCCCACATTCCAATCCAAATACCAGGAAAAATACCTTTTATGTGGATATGGTATTGCATGATCTGCTCCCAGCAGTTTTAGGTTATTCAAGATATAGTAATTTTCATTTTAGCTTTTTAGAGGTGAAATTTGTGCTCTCATTATGCTCCTCCACTGAAATATTAAAGTAGAATTGAGAAAAAAGATTACAGCAAACTATGTATTTAACAGCTGGCTGAGATAAGTCTCAAGGAGAGGACTGAGACAAATGACTGATTTCCGATCTGACTTCTCAGACATTCAAAGACACCATCAAATACAGATGTTCAATTGTCTTACCACTATTGTGGCACAACTCGTACACCAAATAAAGAAAATAAACCAGCGCATGCATTGAGTATTATAGGCAGAGTTCACCAACAACCAGCTGGGAAAAACTTCTGGAGTTTTTTCAGGATAAAGTATTACACACACAGTGTGTAATGATTGGCAATATATGTCTACATGAAATAAATGAATATTAAACAAGCAAAATGCTGAGAGCTGCCAACAGAACTGTATGGGTTAATAGGTGGTTTTTAGAAAGCCTTTTCAGACAAAGCCTCTGAGGTTATTGTGTTATCTCATGAATCAGTTGGTAAAATGTTTTGCCAATGAATGTAAGGAAGTTTAAAGCTGTTGGCTTTCGCCTACCGTACCAAGATCAGTCTTAAGATCTGTTGGCAGACTTAACTTTCTTGATCCTTTAACTGAAACAACAGAAAAAGGAGAAAGGCAGTTGTTAATAAGTAAGAAAGAAAAAGGAGCGAGGGAAAACAACATGCCATCTTCCGGTTAAAATCATGTTGCAAATTTGTAGCATTTTTCTTTTAATCAGCATAATAAAGGCAGAATAATGGTTTAAATATTTTCATTTACACCATTCAGCAAAATAAATGCAATTGAACAAAGAAGCACTGGAAAAAAAAATTATTCCAGCTGTCAAGGAGTGAATGATGTTTTACACAGCTTTGGCTGTGTGCTGCAATATCTTACCTTGTGGTGACAGGAATGATAAAAAAAGAAACCACAAATGAGATTAAGGCAAATATTGCAAATGCTGGCTATGCAGCATATCACAAATATTTAAACACCTGCAAACCAATTTAATAAGAGGGTGCAATGAAATTATGAGCTCTGATGACATCATACCTCAAGATAGCATTTGAAAAAGAGAGGGCATATTGTAGGAGTTATGGGGACAGAACATACTGTTGTAATATTATGGAAAGGAAGACAGATTGCACAGAAACGAAATACAGCAGCTTCAGGACATAATGCAGTGTTATCTAGCCATCAAAATTTGCACTCAATTTAGTGAAGGTTTAATTATTTGTTGTGTTCCAATTATGCAAGAAACTGGTAATTTTGCTTCTGTTCAAAAATGTTTTCATTTCCTCACACACAAGCACATTTTCAACCAATGAACAACAAAGAACTGAAATAAAGCATGTCTTGTAGCAGTCAAAATGGCATTAAATTTATCAGAAGAATGCCTTAAGAAATCTTTTATTAATTATTCAGATGACTTGATTTCCAATTTGGTTACTTCATTTTGTATTCATTATTTTTTTCACAGGGTTTTCTGGCTTTTACCCCTTACCCATGCTGTCTGTTACTAGAAGGGAACAATCAAATATTTGTCAACTAATTATTATATTACTATTGTTATACTTCTAAAGGAAGTCCCATGTGATAAGTACCACAGTGACTGGAACATATGAATATAAGTAACAAATTCTTTGTAATTTGTATGTAGTAAGCTTTTAGGTCAGAAGGATGCCCAGAACAGACACTCACTCTTTTAAGTCACAAAATCCCTAAAATAAAAATTTTCTGTTGTATCCTTTTGCAAAGCCTGCAATGTGGCAGAATTAAATATCAGCCAGCACCTATGTTAGATGTTTTGCTTTTTCTCTTCAGGGATGAGTAGGGGAACCCATGAGGCTCTTGAGCAATATTTTGCTATCAGTAGAACCAGCACAGCCCTCCCAGTAACCCATCTGTAGCCATAAATTTAAATCAGGACATGGCGAAGAGGTCTCTCCAGATCATCCTGACATCAAAAATATACACCCCTAACACTACTACATAAAAATCCTCTAATTTGGATACCAAGTGTTAGGCACCAATGTCCATTTTAGGCACTCACACAAAGGGCAGCTTGATTTTCAGAACAGCCTTTAAAACCCCATTCCATTTATCTGAGCAGCTGTCAGATACTCTTTCAGACTGTGAATGGTTGGCTACTGCTCCAGAAAATCAGTGCTCTGCTATAAAGGAGCATCACTTGTGAAATAATCTCCTTTTAGAGGAAGGACAACATCTGGCCTAACCAGCCCTCTGAAAAAGGATAAGCAATTCATAAGAAAAACTGTAGGACACTTCACTAACAGATTAGAACTTAGAGTAGCTAAATTAGTGCTGTCATCATGCAGCTTTGAGCTTTGAAAATTGGTAGTCTAACCTCTTCTATTTCTAGGTAACAGGTGTTTGTGTACAGCAGGAATTATGTGTCTTGTGTTGCGTGCCACAGCTGTGTCCCAAATGATGACACACGCTGAACCCAATAGCTCCCAGCTGTATCTGCGCAGGCTCATGCAGCACATGCAAAGTTTGGACTTTCTGATTCCTCTGAAGGAGTCTACACAGGCTTGGTTTGGGAGCTGCCGCGTGACAATTGCACACCCTTCACCTGGCAATCACACAGCTGGACGTTGATGCACTACGGCACAGAACGGATCACTGACAATAAACCCCATATTTGAGGGCAAAAACAACAGGAAAAGCTGGCTGTTTTCATGCTTTACTGTGATTAAAGCTGTCTATATTAATTTTTTTAAACTAACTTTTAACTATTAATAACATCCACATTCTGATCAGTTTATGTAACCTGGTTTTAGTACCTAAATCATGCATGTTTTACTGTCTCTACATTGATTATAAAGAAGGATCATGCACACAAGCCTGTCTTGCTGACAGACAGCTTTTGAAATCCAGTTTTATTTGAGAATGGAGTATAAAGTTCAAGAGGCCAGCAGAGTTGTCTGCTATCATAATTTGTTTATATTCGTGCTGGAGGCAGCCAGAAGAAATTGTGAAGGTACAGCATAAAGGCAAGACAGCCCCTACCCAAAAGAGCTTCAAGTGTTAAGAGTTAAATTATTCAACTGTGGGATGAGGAATAGTTCCTAGGTACAGTCTAGCAGCCAGCTAAGCTGAGCATGCAGGTCTGCTGACCTGACAACATCCTGCACTGTAGCCATATGGTTCCTCTAAGTCTTTCAAGGAAAACACCAAGGCACAACCAACAAACAAATGTGCTCTTGCAGCTCTGGCACTCAATGCTGAGTTTCCCTCAGCTGTTACAGCAGCACTGTGGTCACAGATTTTCATATTATTCAAAATGAAGGTGACTTCATACAGGATTTTTTCTACTAAGGAAAACCTGGCTAACACTCAGAAACATCAGTCCCAGTTACTGCTAAAGCCCCCTTGACCCCTGAGCCACGCACCAGGGGCTGCACAAGGGCCCAAACCCAGGTCTCCAGATCACACTGCTCCCTGCTCCTTGCCAGTCCCTACACACAAGTCCCTTCTCAATTACTTAAGCATGAATTCACCCGTTCAGAAACTCCCTTTATTATGGGACATAGTGATAAAATGCACCTTGTATCCACACTGCTGAAGCTAATCACTAATTATTGTCTGCTGACTAGTTAACATTCTTTTTAATTTAACATGGATAGGCAGAAATGGTTTTGCAGTGTTATCAGTAACTAAGTTTCAAAATATACTACATTCCATGTTTTACAGACACATAAAATGTTTTGAAGCGTTTACTTTCTAGCTTGTTTTCCAGGAGAATACAATTTTCAAATGGAGTCAAATCTCTTCAGCTACTCTGGTGTCACCCACAAGTTAGGAAAGAGAATGATTGTTAAGAAACTTAATAATATTCTTCTTGAAAGAAAGCTATTTTAAAAAACACTTCACATAGGAAAATGGGAGTTTGGCATGGCAAAGGCCTAATCCCAGCAGATTTAGCCAGTGAAATGAATAGGGATAGCACTTGGAAATCATAGTATATATAAAAATTTATGGTCTTGCCATTAGGGACCTGTCTCAAAGCTCATGGGAATTAGTCGTGGGAATCTTTGCACAGCCTTCTCTAAGCTTCAAAAAATCTTAAAAGCATTTTGGATGCAAGCCCCCAATATGAAGATGCTTCTTAAGAAAAAACACAAATCCTTTTTCATTTTAGAAAAAACATTTGATAAGTCACTCTCCTATACACAGACTGAAGAAATTCTTGCCTTCTGGTCTTTGAAAGAAGTCTAAAGTATCCAGTAGCACCTCACACAACAAATGACCTATCCAAAGTTGCATTTTCCTGTGCTCACAGTGTATTCCCATTAATACGCTTCAATATCAAGCTCCATATCAATGTTTAAAACAGTAATGGACATACATAATTATATATTATACATTATATTCCTAAGAGCCCCCAAATAAGTTTACCTAATGAGATGATAAAAATAAAGACAAAATTTACTGGAATGGGTACTGTTCTGTAATACATTACACAGTAATTAACTCAAGCATTTGATACAGCACCACTTACATGACGAGTGCTTTAGAGCCACTGCGCTCCTGCGTGCCACTGCAGAATGAAAGTGGTACAGAGCCCTTCTGACCCCCAAATCACAAACAAAAATGAAAATGCAGTTTGAAACAACAAGGCATTCAGGAGTAAGAATAGGATGTTCTGAGGCTTTTGGTTTTAAGCCACCAAATACCATGATATGGCATGCCTTGCTGCATTTCTACATTCATGAAACATGCTTTAGATAGGTAAGAGTTTGGGGGCTCTTAAAGTTCTTTTGTTCCACAATTTTTCCCAGTGTTATTCCATACATATTACTATATCCAGAATACATTTACAGTGGAAATTGCCGCCTCTCAGCTATTCAAAAATAAGCAGAATCTTTCAAATGGCTTTACTAACTTTTTCTTTCCCTTTATAGTTTTGTAAATGCATCACTATAGTATTTAAATACTAGTTTAATTAAACAAGATACCAGTGGTTAAGGAAGATTATTCCTCTCTTCTGCCCACCACTCTTAAAAAGCAAGGTTGCTATTTCTTTACTTGCTGCTAATCTCTGTGTGGCACTGTGCATTTCAGAAAACTTTTAATCAAATGGTTTAATTTTATGTTCTATTCTGAACGGTGTTCAGAAGGGGAATCTGATTTTTCAATTATATCATCTGCAAAGTCATGTTTTAGTAAGTAGCACAGGAAGAACATCTGAGAAGACAGTCTTGTGAACCAAGTTAAATATTATTTAATGAAGAAGTAGGATTTGTACTGAATTATGTACTAGCCCTGCATGTGAAATAAGGAGTACTCTTCAGCCCCGAGTCTCTTGCTCAGTGCTCCATCACTCGTATCAATGACAGAACACACAAATGCCTAATTCTACTCGGAGGCAGGGAGAAGAAAAACAACGCAGCCAAATTACTGAGTTGACCTAGGCTGTCTCTGCAGAAATTCTGTCATAGGTTAAAACATTGCCAGCACTAGAATGTTAAAGGTATAATCAGTTTTTCATGGAAACAGAGACAGTTCAGGCAGTCTAAGCAATGTTCAACATCAGACCAAGAGATGAGGAGGCAGGAGATTTTTCAAGTTCTCCAAGAAGCCTTTACCAACACTGTTCTTATGGCCTGACTGGAATGGAAATCTGACTAAGCTACTAATGGCTCTCTCAGATGTAGAATTACTCAAGTCTACACTGGCACTTAGTGTGCCCTGGGGATTCTTCCTTGGCATTGTCTTGGGAGTCTCAAAATACACACATGAGCACAGCAATGCTGTTCCTCAAATCATTGACCTCCTGATGGAGCTAAGGATGAAGATACTCCCCACTGTGCCATCCATCATGTGTGCAGTGTTTGCCATCTAGACTCGTGCCCCCCAGCAGTTTGCACTTTGTGTATGTATTGAGCACACTCAGGGCCAGCACCCGGCATGAGCTTCCCTGTTGGGTGTAAAACTGATGTTGATGTGCTCTGGCAACCAGAATGATCTGCTACAAATCAAACTCAGTTCTGTCTGTCTTTGCAACCTCATGTAGTCATACCCAGCAGGCCCTCCTCCACTGGGCAGCAGCTTGAACCACTTCACAGAGCAGTTCAAGTGTTCTTTCCGGTTTTGCTAAATTTCTGAAGGAGCAAGTCTTGCTCTGTTTTCAGCAGAGGAACGCAGTCAGTGGTTTTACAAACCCAGAGATCGTGGGGCTCTTATGGAACACAGCACACTTCCATTGCAGAGCTCGTGTGCCGTGGACTTCAAACAGATAAAGGCAAGGCTGGAAGTGGAAGGATCCTGCCTGACAGATCCATAAGTATGTAGCTGTGGTCTATGAGCAAGAAACATTAGTCAGTGAGAAGGCTGGTGTGGGTGTGAGGCTGTGCTGGTTAAGCACAAGATTAGTTCCTCTCCCAAGTTTTGGAGGGCATGGTTTTGAGGTCACTTTTTCCAAGTGACTACATTGGATTCTGCCCCGTTTCACAGCAGGTATGCACAAGCAATATTAATTAAATTTTGCAATAATTAAATAAAAATAATTAATATCAGTCACAGTAAAAGAAACTTCTTGTTTTAAAAAGTAGTTCTAATAATAGTTACTTCCTACAAAACTGCACCTGATTTCACATTTAAAAAATATAAATATAGCTTGGAAAACAACATGAAAGTGCTAAAATAGGAAACACCCATAAATATGTTTTCCCTGCTGAATATCTCCAAAACAGAAAAAAGCAGAATAAATTTTGGAGCAAATTATATCAGATTTATCTAAGAAAGCTATTTTTGAGCACTAGCAAAATGAAAAACTGAAGTTAACTGCAGAAAAAGTAAAGTGTTATAGGAGACACTCATCATTATAAAACTAAGAATATGCACATATGGTTACCAAGTCAGTCATATCTTAGCTTTCAGTGAAAAGGAAAGGTTTTAGCTCATTTCTGAAGAGAAAAGTGAAAAGTTGAATCCCAGCGAGCCACACAATAAATAATCTAATTATAACTGAGCTATCAAATGTTTTATTTTAAAGCCTATATCATGAGTTTTTAAGGCCCTGCTCAAGGGTTTGAGCTCCTAGTTTTATACCAATATTATTATAGCCTATTTCCCTTGGATATCTCCATATCTACAGATTTAGGGTTGCAAATAGTACAAGGAAATACGTATTTCGAAGCAGCTGTTTTGTTTTAGCTCTTACTATGTCAGGGAAACATTTTTATTAGTTTTAGCTTTTTATAATTACTAATTAGTGGCTTTCATTCAAGATTAATGCATCCTGTTATTATGACATAAAATATGTGAAACAGTAACAGAGAATTTGAATAGCATACTTGTGGGCATTTTTTACCATAACTTAGGGGGAAAATATCTATCAGTACTTACCAAACTACAAGGAAAAGAAGAGTGATATGCATACCACAAGCGAAACAAATGTATCACAGCTACACCTCCTTATTTTCCATAACATTTAAAAGCCAGCTACTAGAAAACAGCTCTTAGCAACCCTCTTTAACTCAGTAAACTCACATTAAAGAGACTAAGGTAGACTAGGCACTTGCTGAAAAGGTCTCTAGGAATGGATGAATTCCACCTTCTGAAGGACTATGGATAAAATGGGAAACATTTATGAATTTTTGTGTGGCCAAGATTTCCCTGCCCTGGCTCATAAGCAAATATGAGCTTTTTATCTGAGGTTCTGCTTTCATTGCAAATTAGGTAAATAAGGCACTAGGGTTCTAATTGCTAAAATTTACCATCTCCATATTGCTGATTTCAAATAATTTCTCCATGTACATGTACGCATAACATATACGTATAGAATTACAAGGACTCCCTACTGTAAAAAACTTATAAAGTCTTTTAAGAAAACAGAGAAACAAGCTTCTTATAGGAGGTTATAGGAATATACCTGCATGATCCTTTTACTTGTGCTGAATTACTTTGTTGAATACTGTTACTTGAATGTTTTCACACTGTTCACCTCAAGATGCACCACGTACATTTAAGTTCTCCTTAAGGAAACAGGATTTTACTGTTCTGTGTAAAAAGTGCTTCTCCAGTAATTTCTTCTCTTTGGAAAGACTTCACTTCTTAGGGATTAATGAAACACAGTGATGCATGACATGAATGGCTTATACAGACTGCAGGAAGAGAAGCCAGTCACCTTTACCTGAAGTGGGAGACTTGCAACGCTCAAGCTCCAGGGAAACTGGACTGTCACTGAGTTCAGTCAGGCCTGAAAAAATGGAGTTAAAGAGTTAAGTTACAATCTAACAGGGCATGCTTCAACTTTCTTGGTTGATGATATTCTGCATTTTAAAGTCAATTTGGAGAAAGGAATGGTGTGAAATGAGAGGGAAATAATCTACTTCAGATAAGTGCAGTTATCAGGCTGTCACTGCAGCAATTTAGGCTTGGTTTAAAAAAAAAAAAAAATCACACCTCTTGTTAACTCAGATTTGTTTTCCGAGTGCCTCGGGATAGAAAAGAGTGACTGTACCTAACAAAAGAAAACAAGTAAGTATAGTTTAAAATTTAAAAGTCTGTGATATGACTCAAACTCATTCATCCCTGTCAGTATGATGTGGAATCAACTCTGTGCTTTCAACTGCTGCATAATGCAGGGAGGAAATCTTAAAAGAGGGGAAGAAAAAAAAGTAAGATTACTGCTACTGTGCAATATTAGAATTTTCATGAATTCACACAAGATAGGTCATTTTAAAGGACACAGAAGCATTGATAATGCTGGCTGAGTGAGACACTGAATTTTCTGACAAAATACTTTATACATGGTATATATATATATATATATTTGTCAGGAACTCCACCTACATGGAAGACAGCACCAAGGAAAGCAATCCTAGTCTGCACTGCATAAACTCAAGCTTGTTTCTGTGAGCAAACTAAGATCCATCTTTGGCACAGGCTGAATGCTCCAAGTTCAAATACACCTTTTAGCATGGTGGGGAAGGAAAGTCTGAGCTCACTCTGTCTTTCACCATGGGCTAACTGGGCATGGCCACACCTATTCAAATGCACTCTCTCTAGGTATCTGTAATGCCCTGTGGCTCACCCTTGTTATAGGAGCTCTGGCACTCCATACCACTGCCTACCTGGCACTGACAGGCAGCCCTGCCCAGACATTCACATGCCAGCTAGGTGGACCCACAGCACTCAGGTCAGAGCCCACGGTCAGGGGTACATTGCTGTCATACTGATATTGGATTTAACACACTCTGCTTGTGCTGCATCCTGAGAATCAAACATCCTACAAGAACCTTTCAGTATGCTTTAAACAGGCACCATGGCTTCTGTAAGAAAACATGTTGTAATTTTAATTGCTTCTGGACCCTCAGGCCAGAGACCCTCACCACTAAAATTCATATACACTCTTGTTTTGGAAAATTCTGCCACTCAGTCACCAGTCCTCCTTTCTTAGTATTGAAACCAGTGGAATCCTAATGTAGGTACTGACAACTTTATTACATTGTATTTTTGAACTGGAGAGGATCCAGAGCCCCAGCCAACAGAACAAAAAAAGCTCCTGCCATAAATGAAGATGCAGGAGTGCAAGAATAATGGTGAGAGCCCTTTGGAAAACCACCAGTAGTGATTTAGTCTGTTAAGGCAGTATTAGCAACACACTTGCTCCTGAATTGAGACAAGATCTGCCAAACTAGACACTATTGTTGAAAACCAAAGATTTTTTATTTTGAAAAATGTACCTGAATCTTCCTTTCATTTCACTAAGAATCCGTGAGAAAACATTTGTATCTCAATCAATTGCAAGTTCAGTCACTTTTGATTTTATGAGAATATTCAGAAACTGTAATAATTTGGAAAGCTTCTCTAGTACAGCAGATCTTACTTCCACTTGAACCCAAGATTTCTGTATGTACCTAGAGATTTGGGACAGAATTGATTTTTTTTTTCTGCAGAACTGTCTGCAAGGAGCAGCGGGAGCAATTTTGCATAGCATCAGAGGCCTTGGATAAATAAAACGTATACTGTTTATTTTGTAAATGCATTATTGGAGATAGGTAAGTTTTAACACCTTGTCCAAGATGTTCTAAACACTGTATATTTAGCACTGGTGTTGGATACAATATCAAACCCAGGTCAGACTTTGCTTCTAAATGAGCAACCACAGTAAGAAGACCATGACTTCTTTATGCACAATTTGCAACATAAACATTAAAGACACATTTCATGTTATGCTATTTAAGAATATTGAACACATGAACTTCTCTATGAACCTTGACTTGCTGTCAAGCCACTGTCACCCCTAGCCATGACCACCTACAGATGCCTTTAGAAGAAGTGCAACATATCCCCATGTGAAATATAAGTGGTACCATGTGCCCTGCACAAGAGCATTGGCTTAATCTCACTTAGATTTGCTTAAGCACTTCCACTTGCAGATTTTCTCCAAGCATAAATCTTTATTGCTTTGAAATATTATAATGAGTTCTGCTCATTACACTCCCAGTTATCCAAAGTCTCTTTTAATCTTGCTAAATTCTGAATTCTGAAGACGTTGTAAGGCAATGAATTGCTCAATCATCATTCACTGAAAAGGATAAACATATATTCGTCAATTTTTTTTGTGTTACCTTTAATTCCACTAAATGTTTCCCTTTGAGACAAGAAAGTGAGCTCTCAAGCTTTTCCTTGTACTACTGCTCATTTTTTACTCTCATTTCCTTTTTAAGGAAATGAAACTAAATATTTTCAATAATTAACCATGTATAAATATTTCCATGAACCTCAGCTTCCCTCAAATGTCTGAGAGACTACAACAGCTAGTGCAATTCTACTAAAAGCTATTTTCACTTTCCATTTCGAATTCTATAGGCAGTTTGTCCCCCAAGATATTTTAGCTATTTTTAGCCCCCAAAACCATCCCCAGCAAATTTTAAGCCCACCTAGAGCAAGAGGAATATAGCAGTAAAAATAAAGGCAAAACCCCAAGACTAGCAATGTGAACAACCACCTGAGAGAAGATCTATCCATGGACACTATAAAGAAATTGACTTCGGTTTGAGCAAATCATAAACGTGTAAATAGTGCAAGATGTATATGTCTCACATAAGACATTAAAACAGTTTTAAAGACTTGTCCTATGGATACTTTTCTAAGTTTAGTGTGATTTTAATTTCCTCTTTATTCAAGGATCAAAACTAGTATGAGGTAACCACTTTAATGAACCCATAATTTAAAATTTTGTTTGAAATTTCTTTCTGTATGTTTGAATGATTCAGACTGATCATTTACTCTAAAGCACCTAAAGCCATCACACCTTTGCTTATAAATAAATGAATTATAAATAAATTGTCATAAATATTCACAAGCCAATAAAATAAGTAAGCTCAGTGTTATCTTAATCCCTCATCTTCACACTGAATTACCATACCATGTTTTCTTTATGTTTATATACCTATATATATATATATCTATGCATGCATTCTCTGGAAATTAGTTAGCTCAGAATATAGCTATTGACTTAAACTCAACCTATATTAGCTTCTTAGGTGTGAATTAAAGTGCCAATTACTGATATACAATGACTCACAGCACATAGTTTTCTCTATCCTCCTGTCAGACCAACCATACTTCTGCTCACCCCCTCTCAAGGGACTGGCCTGAGGGAGGAACAAGAACTTCTCACTGAAAAGTCTTCATTATGAAAATTATTTTGCAATGTATCAACATCCTTTCGATTTGACAACACTTTGGATGCTTCATAAAGACTATTTTCTTGTTCTACCAACAGATGGTATGAATTTCTAGTAGGAGATGCAAATTCCTTTTGCATCATTTTGGTATTTTTATATTCTGCTGCAGACATTATCCCTCTAGGTGCAATAAATGTACTCGTTTTAATATTTGAATGCATGTTACCCAAAATCAGGTAATAACATGTACAACTTGATTTCAATTGAAGAAGAAAACCAATCAAACAACAACCAAGCAACCTCAAAATTCTGCAGTACAGCACAGAGAGTTTATTTTATTTAGCTTGTCATATAATTTTGCTACAAAGGGGGGTGGCTGTAGATGTTACAGCAAATGGAACCAGCCATCAACACCTGAAAGTTATCTCCAGCTCTGCACTTAGGCTCATCTTAGCTTCTTCTTTTCCTCAAATTACTTCCCTGATCGGACAATTAAGTTCCGGTCTCTTCCACTGTGTATACCTAGAACTGGTTACATTTCTTCCCCCTTGCTTCCCTTTCCCACTTTCACCTCCCAAACTAGAGAATGTGCTGCCTTAATGCTCTAAGTCCACTCTGGGTGCATTTGAGTTTACACATGTAACCAGTATCAAGCTATCTACAGATTTATTGGCTAAAATTCAGAACATTTCTTCCACCACAGTGCTTTGCATATTGGACGTCGCTGACATTGTCGATTATGTCTTTCCTCTGGCAAGCCTCTTCTCCAACACATTGCTTCTTTCCTCTTACATGTTCATTCTTTTTTTTCCCTTTCCCTGTTCAGTTGCAGGACATCTCAGACTGAAATATCAACACTTTCTTTCTCTGACCCAGTATTTGAAGAGATTCTTTTGTATAAATATGGCAATTTTATTTATATATATATACATATATCCCTAGTGATTCATAAATACACATCTTTAACTTGGATTTCTTCTATCCAAGTTAGAGTAGTAATCCTGTCTTTCTAAAATCTACTCAGGAGTGTCCAAATATGAACTTAACATGGCCAAGATGAACTCAACTTTTTGTTGTGCTGAAGTTTCCCCTTTACTACATGAACAGAGCTGTCAGCATCACTGTCTTCTCTTATACTCTAATCCACAATAGTGGTTACATCTTTGAATGTCACACTTTAACCTCATAATTAGGCTGGACACTAAATTACATTGTCTCTTCCTGCAAATCACCTCTAAAATGACCAACAAAAATCTAAGTATCTTGCTCATCGATAATCTCTTCTTTGGCTTCAGTACCTACAAGTCTTATTTTCTCATACAGATCCACATGAAATTATTTTCCTCCTTCATTACTTAATTGAATCAACTACTCATATATCTTCCCAGTAACTTCCATTTTCATTGATATATCCCTTGGAAGTTTAGACCTAATGCTTCTTTTATCACATGACTGCTCCTGCTTTTGTCATAATAATATTGGCTTTGAGTGCACAATTCCCAAAAATAATTTACTTTTCCCATCATCATCCCTTAGGAAAGAAGATAAACTTGTAAGCAAAATCCAAAATTCCCTCTTAATACCCCTCTTAAAATTAATCTCTCAGATAAGAGATATAACAAGGCACAACCTGAGAATGACTTTGCAAGATATTTCAGTCTGTGACAGATTCTAGTCCTGTTCTTGATCTTACTGCTTGGTGCATCTTCTAGATTACACAATATATATTCCTGTACAAATATCAAATGACAAAAACAAGAAACAAACCATTTTTGAGGAAAGAAATTAAGCTGTTTATGATCTTGCCTAAAATTCAGACTAATACTTCACAGGAAGATTTTGGAGACTTTTCTGACTGTGAGGATGAAGACAGAAACAAGATAATACATTTTCAGCTATGAAAAACTCAGTGGTCTATGTTTGTAATTTGGAATGAAGACACTGGTAATTTTTGCCATTAGAATTTATTAATTTTTCAGAGGAGGGGAAAAAAACCCCCAAACATTTGGCTGCTGTCTGTCACTCAGGTTCTCTGTTACAGACTTGAAATTACAAGATCAGACTAATAGACTTTAAGATATCATACACCAAACCTTTTTATGGACTGCTGAATTTGTAAATGGACTAGTCTTTTAACTAAACAGACCACCTTTTACAAACTATTATGAAATAAAGTCATAGAAATCAGCCTAGAGGGATGGAACAGAATGTGTCGTGCAAGTGTACGAATGTATTTCAATAGCTACATAACTTTATATTTATGAGAGATGATAAAACAACTGCCACTCTTTTATCCTGCCTATACTGAATATTTAATATAAAATTGCCTATCCTGTTGTTCTGTGAAAAGTACTTTAAAAAAGGCATCCTAGAGACCTAATTACATATAAGCGCTGCAGTTAATTAAGATACGTATGGCTCATCTGTTGAACAGTCATTTTTGCAAAATTAATTATAGCTTTGTTCACTGTATTCTGCAGTGATGAATACTAATATTTAAATTTCATATCAGTATAACTCAAAATTTAAAGATATTAAAAACATGAATTTTCATAGCCCTCTTTGATGTGTGTATTTTTATGCCACTTTACATTCCCCATCAAAGAACAGAGGCACGGGATGGTTCCCCAAAGCCAAATATTTAAGTACCAAACCAGGATTAAAATTTTAAATTTCACAGCATCCAATCCAATGGGTACTCTTTTAAGCCACATTGTTCTTCCAAAAAAAGGGAAGAATTAGTTGGTAACTACAGATAGTGCCATTGCAAAACAAGAAATGCTTCATATTAGTAAATGTACATGGAAACAAATATAAAACCAAAGAAAGATACTGTCACCAAGAACATAACATTGTTGAAAAATAATTTCTAATGCCCAATCTGTCCCATATAACACTGAGGTTTTCTCTTAGACTTTCTTTTTAAAGAAAATAATTTCTGTATAATAAAGGTAATTGTCAAAAATAAGCATGGTTAACATCACAAAATGTACTAAGTTTGCATGCATGCTGAATGTGTTTAAAAAACACATTACAAAGCACAAACACATGGGTTTAAGTCAGGCATAGTCCAATCATGATAAAGCTTTTTGCCTAACCTTTATAGAACTTACTCTGATAGGAAGTACGGATCCGTTTCGTTAAATCTGGATAAAAGTTAGACAGGCCACGCATGCAAAAGTTGTCTTTGGAACATGCCAGTACACCAGCATCAGCAGCAGGCAGAGGAAAGAGAGAAAAAACAGTCTAAAGTGAAAGGAAGTGATATCATAACCAGCATCTAGAACAGCCAAGGTGAAGAAATTTCAGCAGATGCTTACCTTCCAATTGGGAGATATAACAAGAAAAATAATCAAAAAAGTAAAGGATGTGGGATGGATGGTGAGAAAGCAGCTGAGGCTTTTTTTAGATGCATAGTTTCTATGAGCAATCTAGAAGTTGCAATCCTTCTCAGCGGTCATTTATCCGCAGTGGGCTCCATTCTGGCAGCACTGGATAGCTGGAATGATGCCTTAAAGGATTGGCCCAGACTGCCACTGACAGAGAAAAACCCTCTGTGATACAGTGCTTATAACAGCTTTTTCTACATGAGCAATCCTCCACCTTTGGTACAGAGTTCTGCAGCATGTTGTTTGTGGCTAGCTGCTCACATTTTTTAGGGAGCTGCTGTGAGGCTGGCTGAAACCAGAGAGAGAAGCTGAAGGTAACTTGAAGCTGCCCGTCTCTTCTCTCCTCAGCTGTGCCAAATTTACATATTTAACACTTGGCACAGATGGGAACTAAGCTTGCCATGATTAAATGCATAGAAAGTGAGATAAATGGTCTTTCAGGAGCAGAAGTAGGCCTGAAGACTTGTATTTTATTCTCTAAATTGTCCTCTAGATTTTACTTTCTGTTTGGAGTGTAAACACATTCCCAATTAAAAAAATGTTTCCCATAACTCTATGGAGAAGTAGGACTTGATGATTCAGTGCAGGGTCTGCTGATGAAAATGCTGATGGCATAAACCCACTATAATCTGTTGCTTTTGTAATTTTAGGGTTAGATTTAAAACTCCACACTTTCAAAGATATTTAAAAATTGAATTCTAAAACTTCACAGCTATGCAAAACACATTCCATAATTGTGTCTGACTCTCGCATGTTACTATGGAATATGTCAAGTGGAAAGACTTGAAACAGATGATCTGACTTTTTCTCATACAAGTAAATGTTTATACCAGTAAATGTTTAGATAACCAACAAAGCATGGTAAAATTTACCTCTATTGAAGTATTAATATTTCTAATACACAATGCATGATAACAGTTATGACTTACTGTGATCCTCTTAGCATCAAATTTTAAAATGGATACTGGAGGTTTATATTAAGAACTTCACTAATGAAGTGCTTAATTTTAGCTCCTTGTGTTACCTACATAACATGCCTCCCAGGTGTTACACATCTCTAAATACAGCTAACTATTCAAATGAATAGCTCCTGGCAGAAGGTACATTTTCAGGTTAGATAGAAGTCTTACTTATTGGTATGAACTTATTGAAACCAAAAAAAAAAAAAGCATACAAACTACACATCAAGTGACTGCCAGAGAAACAATTTATTGCTCTGCTCATTGTGATTTTTTACAGACTCAGCTAAGGGAATTACTTGCTGACCTCCATCCCAAAAGGAAAAAAAACCTCATAAAACATTTTATTTCTGAGAAAGTGCCCGCACCTAGAGCATGTCAGGTTTCTTTTGCCAAGTTATAGAAACTCCATTGGCCGGCAAATAGTCATGCATTCCAAAAGCACTGAAAAGCCACAGGCAAAAAAACCAAAGGAACATATCAGGCTCATAACCACAACGATTTATTTCCTACCTGCAGCAAACTGCCTGCTCTTGCGAGGTGAGCGGGGCTGCCGCTGGTATGGATCACTGGATCCATAGAGGTCGAGGGTGCCCATGCTCAGCAGGACTGTCTTCTGCATGAAATCCACAACAGCCAAGCCATTGCAGTTCCCAAAAGCCACTCTGCAAAGAGAAACATCCCTCAAAAGTGTTAGCAATAAGTAATTAAATCCTGAAAACAAGAATTATTATTATTATTATGAATAGTGCACAAACATTTTCTTCAGGAACTACTCAAGCTCACGTTTTTTATTTCTTACAGGTTTGTAATCCTGAATTTTAAAAACTGTTTTCTGAATTAACTTTCCAGAAAGCAGTTACAACTTCTACCAACTTTCTGTAGCAAACACATTGCAGTAATGTCTAAACGTTGCTTCATTGAACAATATAATTCTAATGATAATGATATCAATTAAGACTAAAAATTGGAACGTAGATGTTAAAAAGTGGTTATGCATTTATATAAAATACAAATATAAATTAAAATACAAATACATGTAAAAGGATTCTTTTAAAGCTAAATGTAAATGACAAATGAAATATATTAGGCTGTATTGTGGAGATATCCAAATCTGAAAAGCATTTATAAAATTTCCTTCCAACTTTGTCGGCTTCTCTACAGCAGAAATTCATGTTAAAACAGTCTCTACCTCTCTGAAATACTTCTGCAAATGCATTTTGATGGTCGTTTGATTTATGGGCAAGATCTCTCTCCTTCTGTATCAGACTGCAATTTTGAATTCCAGACAGAAAGGATTGCAGGTACAGCCACAAAGAAACTCAAAAACCCAAACTATGTTCAATCATATTCAGAATCACTTGCTATCAGGTCCTGTCATTTTCTGCACAGAAGCATAAAAGCACTTAATTCACACTAAAAGTGAGCTGTGCACTCACCTCCACCTGACTCTTCTTAATGTATCTCCAAAATATCTGAAAGGAATTTGTGTGTGGAAAAACAACAATGCAAAAGGAAAGCAATGAAGTGGAGGGAAAGCAGGGTAGCTAGAAAATTTTCTTCTGTCCTACCTTTTCTTATATGCTTCTATTATAAAAAAGAGGGTTCCATATAGCAAATTAAAAAGTAATATGTCAAGAAAAATGAAATTGTTTTTCCTCAGTTGTCAAACTAGCAAATTAAGGCACCATCTGCAACAGTGGCTTGAATTCTACTGGTTGCTACTACACCATGTTCACCACCCTTGTCTCAGCACTGACTGCAGGGCAGCATCTATGGAAATACTATGGATGCGCTTTGACTTTTCCCCATTGGCGTTTTTTTCCTGACTGCTGTCCCTCAGGGGCCCATACTGGGACCAGTACAGCTTAATGCCTTTACCAGTGCCAGAGACAATGGAATGGAGGGCACCCTCAGTAAATCTGCAGACAGCACCAAGCTGAGATGTGCCTGAGGGACAAATGCCATCCAGAAGGACCTGGACAAGCTTGAGAAAATGGCTCATGGGAATGGGGTTAATGGTTTTAGACTAAGAGAGGATTGATTGTATGTGTTCATAAGTTCCTGCACTCTGGGCGGAGGAAAAAAAAAAGAATAAAAATGACAAGAGTCAATCTCATCTATTAATAGTTTAGGGGAAAAATGGTCATTTGCACTTTGAAAATTATTAACCTAGATTTATTAATTTTCAAAAACATGAGTCACAAGAAGAGCTAGTGATCATTCACACCCCTGGCCAGCAAATTAACAAAATGTATCATTTCCTGGTCTGTATTTTTCTAAATTCCTCTAATTTCACACACAAGCATGGATCTAATATTTCTTATACCCAGACAAATTAGTTTAAAAAAGAATCTAAACTTGCTCATTAATAACGCTTCTGAGGTTGGATAAAAAAAATCTAGACAGCCATAACTATTAGCAAGGCTTAAGATAAATTACTAACAACCAAGTCCTTATGAAATCAAAACCAAAATTAATTTCTCAGTTTTGAGCAATGAACAGAATTAGTTGCTAGGTGATGTCCTATTCTGTTGGTATCTTTCACAGAAATGTCATAAAACCCTCATCAGACATTTCTGGACAATTAATATGCAGATTAGCTGAAAACTGTTACCCCACAAGCCAGTAATAAATTTTCAGTCACTGCTTTCAGTCCAACAGAACCTACTTCAAAACAAATTTATTATTTGTATTTAACCTTGTTCCTCAAGGTTAACCTAATTCTTCAGTTGTAATTGAAGCATTTTGTAAAATTTTCTTTTCTACTTTCATAAGATGAAGAAGTTTTTGATGATTCATTTCAACATAAATAAAACAGGGGTTAATACTTTTAATTTGTAGCCTTGGTACTGTTAAAAATAAACCAATTACATTAAATAAAATTTTGCATAGTCTGAAGTCTTTCATCTTTGCTGGGAATAAAGGTTTTTTTGCATCTCACTTTATTCCTGTTTCATGGCTGCAGTATAACAGTTCCAGAAATCATAGTAATTAAAAGAATACTGGAAACAGACTCTCCAAAACACACACCATTTTATGTCTTTGACCTAGTTAAACTTATTGGTATAGGAAGAAAAATTAGGCAAAAGATGACCCAAATAGCTCTATAATTAGCATGGCAAAATCTACATGTTCTCAGGCTTCATGCTGAAGTGAAATAGGTTTTTCCACGTGGTGAAGATAGATAACAGGTGACAATTAAAGTAGTAAACAAAAATTCTGATTAAAGAAAGGACTGTGCCTTGTCATAGGCCTGAGGAAAAAGTTAAGAATGACCAGAGAAAGGAAGAGAGAAGAGAGTCTGCAGAAAAAATGTAAGGAAAAAGACCTTTCTTGGGTAGATCTTGTAGGAAAGTTAAATTCAGGTTATCAGCCTACTTTATTCATACATGCATTTATTTCTGAAACACTCTTGTACTTAGCTTATGGTGTTTTAAAGGAGGCTGTCCTGTAAACTATTATTGCTCCTAGCAAATGAAACAATTTAAAGCACTTGATTGAATCCAATCAGTGGTTTAGGAAACCACTGTGACCATGAGGAGCATCACAACCTATCAGAGTAGTTTACAAGTGAGAGAATGGTGTGATTGCTCAGAAGCTGCCTTGAGGTCTGAGACCTGCAAGGGAGCCAATCAGGCAAAACCTAACAATTTGCACAAGCGACAAGTGCATCAAGGTATGGTAAAGAAAAGAAACTCTTGGAATTCATTAATAGGAAACTATCTAGAAATTCAGGCTGAAAACTCGGAAAAAAACAGCCCCCAGAAGACAGCAGTTTTGCAGAAATGTAAAAACTCTGCATTAAACTGCCAAAGTCTCTGAAAAGAGTCCAGTGACTTACTGAAAATCAGCAGGAGTCAGCACCTAACACCAATTACAGCCAATAGTTTCATTGGAGTAACACCTACAGGGAAAACCATTTTAATGTATCAGGGTGACTCTCAGTAAGAGAAAACATTAAAAATTTGCAAATAAACTGAACCTGAGGAAACAATTACACACAATCATTTGCATTGCCATCCAGAATACAGCATTTAAATGTTCCTTATTCAATTCTCGATTTCAGGTCACTGATTCTTGTGCAAACAGACATTAGCACAGACATAAAAATGTTGCTCTCAGAAGACAATTTCCAACTAAAATATGATGTAATGAAAAATGGTATTTAACAGTTAATCACTTTACCATTTTCCATTAAATGCATTTCACCTTGGTGAACCTTTCAAAATAACTTTGAAAATTACGGATTTGAAACGCAATTAGATCTTATTTGAAAGGATGGAAAGAATTATGTGAAAAGATTCAGTGTTTTAAATAGGATTAGTAAAAATATTGGCAAGAATGGCAGTTTAACATCCCATATTACAATCTCTGTGTCAGTTCAAACAACTTTCCCCCAAGAATCTGATTTACAGTATCTTTCAAATACTTTGCTTTGACCTTAATTGTCTGTGGGAAATTTCAAAGTATAGTTGGAAAACGTGATTTAGCACTATAAATCAACGCAACCTTAATTCTGAGTTACTTACAGTCCGTAAGCAGAGTTTACAGCAAGACTGGTAATCTGTTGTGGAGGCTCACCATCCACCCACACCAACTGGATAACCAGATCTGCCTGGTAGCCAGGAGGCATCCGCACAGGTCGAGCCTTAACGCTAAGAAGAGGAGGTACAAAATAAGAACAAACAAACAAACATTGGGCCACGAAAAACAACTGATTTGCATCATTATGAATTGTCAACCCGAACGGAAAGCCTAAAATACTTTCTTTTGAGACTTTGAAAAAGGGCATTTCTGTGTATCTGGAACTTTTGTCTTATGAAGCAAAGCATGGCCGAAAAATGCAATGAGGCAAGAGAAGATGAGAAGATACACCTTTCTGTAGTGGTCCTCACCAGAGCCTATTAAAAACTTATGGACTTGACAAATCTATTTGTCCATGTAGTGCAAACAAGTCCTGTTTTACTTCTAGGAGTATAATCACCCAGTATGTGAATGAATGGTTCCTACATCAAATCTGATATAACTATTAACACCCGTCTATGGCAAGTTCAGTGACTTGCAAAGCAGGTAGTGAAGGTGTACATTTTAAGGGGAAGTGTAAGAGCTGAACACCTCTGTATGACTGCTTTATGTGCTTTTTTGAGTGGTATAACAATGTGGGATACGCTGGAAGAAAACATTACGCAATAATAGCAATACTTTGAGGTACTCATATTAGTCATTAGTACATTCACATTGTAGTAGTAATTTACAGGTAAAACCCAGCGCATTTTCACTGTACCTGTTACTGGTGAGAGTGCTTGTATTGCACCCCTTTGCACACAGGCATAAAATAGGGCAGTATACTTTATGAGAAAGTCATTGCTCATCTATCCTCTAAATGCATTTCCTGAACAGCAGCTTGGCACACTCACTGTTCTATTTCTTTTCCCCGTAGTACTCTTCAGACCTTACATGTGTATTTATCTGGAGCAGTAATCAGGCACTTGGCTTGGATATTGTTGTAGGAAAGACATGACAGTGCAGTTCAGCAAGTGCTCAACCCACTACAGCTGGCAATAGCTTTGTATTGTTGTTTTCCATCAACAGCCAACCTCTGCTCAGAGTTTTGCAATTTCTGACCTGTTCTGCTGGCACTAAAGCTTTGCCCTTTTCTTTGTTCATATGATACATAGCCACGAGCATTTCTGAAGTGATGCTACTCATAACCTTAAAGAAGCAAGCCCTGGATTGCCCAGGAGAGTATTCGTGCTGAGAACAAAGGTGTGAACATCTGTGAACTCAAGCTGCCAAGGGAGAGGGGTCCTTTGAGACCAGGATAAACTGAAACTACAGACAAGAGTTGTATACAGTAAAGATGTATTATTTTCAAAGAAACTTCACAGCAAGCAGAAGCTGAATATATTACAGCCCTTCAGAGTATCTTTGTGATGGAGCCCTTCAACTTCTAATGTCTGTGGATAAGCCTTTAAGAGGCATAATAGTGGTGGTCTTTCCCAATCTTGTACCCAATTTTCAGCTTTCAGCTTCTGCTCTTAAAAATGTTAGAAAAATATATAACAGGGAAATGAAATCCAAGAACCAGGACTTACTCTAATGCCCTTTCAGCTGATCTTTCCAACTATATTTTCTAATGGATAACTGATGGTGTGGCAAAACACAAGAGGCAAGCACACTGCTCCAGCAAGTGTCTGTCAAAGCAAGTATCTGCTTCCTTCTTCTAAAACAGCTACCCTGAGACTGACAATGGCTGCAGAAGTAATTATGATCTTCTAAAACATGTTTTTTAATGTGGTATTACTTTTCCAATGTGTTTTTAATGGCATCCTGAAAATTTAGAGAACTTCAAATACCTTCTAAGTTTTCTTTTGGATTTCTGTCACTTGAAGGGAAAAAAGCAAACACACTGTCCTCTCAATATTTTTCACTACAAATTTAAGGATCTGCTTTGATAAAAATTGGTATTATTCCACAGGGATTTTCTCTAAGCATACAATAAACTGTAGGTGGTGAAAGACTATAATAACAAAGTAAAGTAATTTCGGATTTCATTATTAAGGTTGTCATTCCCATGTTTCTGTGACATCTTCCTCCTTAAGAATCTTTGAGCTATTTCCTTTGTTTCCCTAACCATCCTGCTTAAACAGTAATGCAGATATTCAGTTCTGCACCTTGTTCTGGATGGCTTTTTATCTGAAGTGTTTATAATGAAAGCCTAAACAGACTGCAGGAGTATGAGCAGAAGGAATGTAGACATTTCAGTGATTTCCTTGACACATTCTTCTTATGCTACATTGAATTTCATTGTTGCAAAGTTTTGGTTTTTAGTTTCTTTTCACAAGACATTCACAGTTCCTTATCACTTTGGAGTTACTTGAAGCTACTGTTAAAACCCTTGATTGACCTAATTTTGGGATGATACTAGAAGTCTGGGAACAAAGACTGACATTCTGGGTTCAGCTTTATGATAACAGCATTCACATCAAAAGTATTTATCTGCATAATCACAAATCCATTGGTTTCTTAGGTTATTACAGCTGCCTATCTCACTGCAAAATCTTCTGAAAGAAGCAAGAACAACATTTATTCCATTCTGCTTCCTGCCTTCCTCGGTACCAGTTACTTTTGATTTCAGAAAAGTGCCAAGTTTTCATTACTTCAGTCCCTTCAATTACTTTCTTCCTGGTAGCTATTCACAGGCACAAACACATTCAGTCATTCTGACTTCTGGCTAGAAAAAAATTGGCACTCCACACTACACAAACTATGTAGTGTGGAGTGCCATTCATTTGCTGTAACGATGTTGAGAAGCAGATATGAGAATAAACATAATGGAGCCAGTTATGTATGTGTGCAATATTTTATGTGCATTATCAATATAGTTCAAGCTGTGCACTCACCATCCATGTACAGCTGGTTGCAGCTTTACATTAATATTGCTCTGTTTTAGATTCTGTCCTGCTGCCCACCTGAATGACTTGCACATAAAGTCTGGTCTTTACTGGCTTTTTCCAGTGTTTTCAGCACTACTTTCATTTTACCATCATAATTCTGTTTAGATCAGAAGTTCTTAGACAGACAAGGCCTGGGGACCCAGCTAAGGTTTGGGGGGAAAGTGTGGATATCTGTATGTCTTTCCTGAGAAGGATAATAGCATACATAAGTATATTTTTATCTAAATGTAGGAGTGTGCCAGCAGTTCTAGTGGTGTAATGACTCTGACTTTGAAAAATCACTTCTCAGTCAAAATAACATTACAGTTACCTTGTCTAAAATTTGACAAAAATCTATTGGCCAGTTTAATCTGAGATTATTTGAGATAAGAAAACTCCTAAAAAGTAACAAGCTGAACCTCTGTGGGTTCATTACAACTTTTCTTCCTCCAACACCAACAACTCCTCTCTTTTACAGACAAAATCAAGTAAGAATCTCTTAAGCAAAACTGTTAGCCAGTGAAATGATTAAATGATTGCATTCTTCCTGATATCAATGTCATAAAGAGATTTCACATTTGGATTTTTTAAATAACTAATCTCTGCCTCTTCTGTTGATTTTCATAGTTCAAATTAATGATTAAACTGAGGTCTGAAGTTCAACTGCCTGACTGAATGAGATGGACAAATGAACAGAAGGCCAAAAAATACTGTTAATTTTACAAGGACAATATAACTTTTAAATGCTAATGCCACTTTCAGGAGCCAAGCAGCCCAAAGTATCAGCAAAATCAGGAAATGTTCATTTTAACTGCTTTTGAAATAATAGAGGCATTTAAAAGATTTAATAATAATTAGACCAAAATAATAATGAATTCACCAAAATGAGAGCAATTCTTGTCAGCAATGCACTCTAATTGCTGGAAAATTACAGTTTTTATAGAGTTTTGTACAGAATTACTGTTTTAAGCTATTCAAATCCATCATTATCTGCCTTAATAATAAGAATATATTAATCTACTCCAAAACAGTGACAATGTATTCTAGCAGAAAACAATTTGCTTTTTTCTAAAGATTAAACAAATATACACTTCCACACAGTGTGATTGTTTCATAATCGTACATTTTAAAGATTTTTTCATAAGTACGAACACAGTTTCCATGTCTTACACACCATAAAATGCATACAGTTCTTTAATTTAAAAAAATTCAGTATTATATTAATTCATCAAGGAGAGAAAGCTTTGCACATGCCAGCTTTTACAGAAGTTTCTTCATGAACTAACCTCAGAAATTCCTTGGAGATGTACTCCTAGATCACACTGGAAAATGAGACAGTAACAGTTTCTATTCTTCACAATAACTTCCATCCCTTTAAAATCCCTTGTTGATTACTTTGCCTTAATTATTTTGTTTGTTCCATATTCTGGTTTCTTCTCATTTTGGGTCACATGTATACAATTACTCTCTTTCTTGGGAGCTGATGGATTGACTAACAGATAAGAATGCTTTTTAGAAAGATCAATATTTAAACAATGGCATAGACTTACCTAAGACATGGGATACTGTCCTTCATTGTTCCTTCACATGCTACAGTGTTGGTACTGCCTGAAAGGCTCTTTAAAGAAGGAAGCTGGGAGGAGGCATCTGGAAATGGAGGATTTGTTTCTGGTTCAGGAGTAATGATGTCTTCTACTTCGCACTGAAGTCGTACCTCTAATGACTTAAATAAATAAAAAGCTAAGTTATCATTTCATAAGGAAAGCTGCTGAAAGTTCTGTTACTTTCAAATAAATATCAGTATGCCTTTTTTTGGTTTTTTTTTTTGTTTAATAACCCCCATTTATCACTATAATTTGCAGGCAAAGAATACTGCCATTTGTTATTTATACTGAGAAACAGCAACATCAGATAGGAACAAGAAGGATCACCAACTCTGCCTCCTGATTACTTGTACAACAGAGTCTCTAAGAGACGAGGTTTAGCCAGAATGGATAAGCCTGACAGTGTGAATAGTACTGATACATGAGCTTCATTTATCCATAAGTGGGGCCAGGAAATCAGAGATTACAGCACAGACAGCTCTGTGCTCTTTAGAATTAATATGAGTTTGGTGGATTTCAGAAAGATTCAAACCAGTTATCTTTTGCTTTCCTTCTGGCCTCTCTAGAAAGGGAAAAAGAAGCCAAACCACCCTACAATTCTCTCCTCTAATTCAGGAAATATTAACTGAGGACTCCAGGGAGGAACTGGACAGGAAGTTCAAATCTAGGTAAGTAAATACTGAACAATTCTTTCTACCTCATGAGTTGTCCAAGGAAATCTGCATTTTGAAAAGAATAAAAACCAAGGTACAATTCTCAATGATACAAGGTCTGGCGGTGACTAGCTGAACAGTAATTTCAATGTTGCTACCTTCAAAGGAATAGAAGTCATTGCAGAGGTAGACACTGCAAGCTCAGTCTTAGTGATCTTTCACTGAGACATCATCTGTACCAGAGTGAAGATGAACAAAATAGCTGAATTTCATGAGAATTGGGAGATAAAGGTGAGTAGTACTGAAGGGTCACCTGTTTCTCAACCATTGTGCTAAAACACACAAGATTGCAGAAAGAAGAGATTCTGTTCAACCAGGAAAGAGAGTCCTTTCTCAAAATTTCTTTTTTGTTTCCTCATTTCAAAATCCGTGGATACTTTGTGCCTGAATCAGTTAAAGAAACCTACAGACAACATTTGCCTTCAAAGACTAATGAGTGAAATATTGAGTTCAGGAAAATCTAATCTGGAAGTAATTGCAGCTGACTGAAACTATTTATAGTGCTGTTTAATCTTTATGCAGGACTGGAGTAACTGTTGAAGACTATGCTCTTCTGCTTACCATGACAAAAGTGCATCACTCTTCTTTGAATGTTTTTCTGCATGTATTCCTTTTTCTACTAAAATTAATTTTGTTAAGTTCCAGCTCTTGTGCATTTGAAGAGAGAAGGAAAAATTCAGGCTAAAAACATGATTGTGAATTTTTCTTATTTTTGTCTCTGCTTTGGCTGAACCCTAGGAGGGTTATAGAAATGTTGAATCGATTTATTTTGACACAGAGTAAAGATATTTTTGGGGGATCTCATTACTAGGCTCATTGATTCCCCTTTCCACCTTCAAATGAGTGTAAACTTTTTTCCTGTGTTTCTTCTCAAGAGATTTGAAGTGGAGCTTCACTGAGGAAAGACTGCTCACTGAGGAAGTGATCATGTTTAATTAATAGATCCTTTTGAGACAGGATGGAGTGGATTCAGATAAGAAAACAAAAATAACAGCAGTAAATGCTTTTTATATAACTGATGGCAATGACTCCAAGGTTGGTTATGAAGCAGAATTTGTCTCATGCATACTCCTTGCCTCCAGAATCTGATATGAAATGATGCAAATACTTCTGCTGAGGAAATTCCAGGCACAGCCTATGCTCCTGAGGCATATTCAGCTGCAGACTTCCCTACTACATGGAGAACTTTTGAGTAGCCCCCACACTTCCCATTTGCCACAGCAAAAACATTATAACACTGACATCAGGGCAGTCAAACCAACGTGGGGACCTTAAAACGCTGGCATTTGGAGACTGAACCCAAGGTAAGTTCAGTCTGACTGATAAGGAAGGAAGGACACCAAAGTGCTCTGTACCTCAGGCAGCAAAGAAATCCTGAGATTGGCCATCTCAGTCTCAATACAGACAAAAACACACAGCCTAAAGTCAGGTACAGATTCCAACAAAGAATTCCATGCTTTTGATTAAAAATCCCTCCTTTCATTTAGAGTGAAGACTTGACTGCAAGCAGCAAAAACACAGAAAGAAAAGAGAAGACCATTTCAGAGATGCACAAAACCCAGGGGAATTCTGTGACTATGCCACCAAGATTGCATAATTTAATATTCAGGGAAAAATGCTTACTAATTACAGATGAAATCTAAGAAACTGTTAAATTGCACCTATTATAACACTTTGGAAAATACCAGTAATGATGCAATTCAGCCGGGGAAGTGAAGAACAGGGAAAGAAGACATTAAATTATAGATAATAAAAGATAAGGTGCATTTGCTGTAGAACAATGTAAGAATATTGAAATGCAGTAATTTTAGCAGCATTATACATGAGCTGGTCAGTAATGTGAAATTACTGTTCACCAGTTTTAAACCTTTCCTGAAATGATACATTCAGACAGCTTCATAATTGCCATGGGGGAGGGGGAGAGAAAAAAGTGGAAAACAACAGAAGAACTACAGGTAATGAACATCCATACAGAATGGCACATGCCTTTTTTTTGGCTACAGGCCAAAAATAACAGGTTTTTGCCACAGTAGAGCTTTCTAAAGAGCATTAAAATAGTGTGAAAAGAACTATAATCAGGGAAGGGGAAAAATAATCTGGCATTTCATGTAATTTCTATCTTTAGGGAAACACGTCAGCATAAGTCAGAAAAAGATCAACTCTATTTTGTTAAATCCACTGATAATTTTCAGTCTTCTTATGAACAGAAATTAAAGAGATTAAATACTTGAGTTAAAAAGAGCATTGTGCATGTGCACAATGTACATTAACTGATAAAAACATACAGCAGACAGTAATTTTAGACCAGGTAAATACAACAGAGATTACTGTATCATAAAGTCTTAAAAGCAATGTCTGTAGCAATGTCTGAAAGCTACACTGTATGTTACTACTAAAGCAAAAAAAAAGTGGAGAGTAGGTTCCCAAACCCTCAGATTTTTGTCAGTAACTGCAGTAGGATCAAGATTTCCCAGGAAAGGTTTAAAATGGAATGTCCCTAAACCTGTATTTGTACTGATTGCTATTTTTATTTAAATACTTGAGAACAGATGAAGCAAGGCAATTTGATTTAGAATTTGTTCTCTTATAAGAGAGTGAAATGAGTACTTACTGCAATTTCAGTATTTACTTCATGCTTGCTGAACCTGTAAACAATCACATAGGCAGAAACTCCTGCCACACAGAAAATTCGGCTTTCAGGACACCAGTACATCATCTGAACAGCAAAAGGATCTTCTTCCACAATCTCAGCTGTTGCTTTTCCTTCTCCCACTTTCTGTTTTTCAAAGACCTTTGATGTTTTTAGTTTGTACAACATCTGTAGAGTAACTGGAATATATTAAAACATATAAAAAATACTAACATGAAGCAAATCAGTTATAAAATTCCTCAGTTCCCACTTTCTTCTCAATTGTGGCATAACAAGTAATCTTAGGAAAGCCTAATAGGAGAAGTTGTGTATTATACAATCATCCAAACCAGGACAACAATACAGACACTGTTGTGGTACACATTACTGGTAGGATATGTATTTAATATTTTTCAGAAGGGTATTTGTCTATTAAATACTTCTTAGTACTTTCTGGGGAAGGGTGTCAAAGGTGTAAACCATTGTGTCCATAATTAGGCTTACAATCAGTGTTATAGAGAGGCTCTGATCATATTGATACTTCCCTAAAGAGATGTGAAACTAAGATTTCATTTGTCTGAGGTTATGGTCTTGATAAAATGTAAAGAGTGTATGGCAATTCAAGAAAAAACATTAGGAAAGCAAGCTGGTGGCCTGGTCAACTCAAAGTTCTTCTGAATTAATGGGAGTTCAAAAAGGTTTTGAATTTCTTGACTAATGTGTAGATCAATACTTATAACTGTATATAAAATCCTAGTACCCAAAAGCTTTTGTTGAGATTAGAGCTCCACTGCAGCAAATTCCAGAAGTAAAGGAGGAGTGACAATTCACCCCATTATGTTTGACATTCTTCCCTGTTTTTACTGCTTTTACACTGGTTTCTCAGTGGCATTAATCAGTAACTGTACAATGTCAGAAAAAGTCAGTCAGGCCCAGCACCTATAAAGGTGTGCATATCCACAAAGGCAAAGCTGCTGCCTACGTCTGTGTAATTCTGGTAGCTCAGCCTGGCCAGCTTGTGTAACAAGAGCAACAGGAAGATGAAAGGACAGTGTTTTAGTTATGTAATCAGATGATGAACACAGCAAAATTACATTTTTGTTCGGCAGTGCAGATATATTCCAGGAGGTTTAGCATATACAGTTTTTAATGTTTTAAAAAGTTTTAGCACATAAAGCCCTGCTGAATTTCACAAATTACAGCAAGTGCTTCTGTAATAAATACATCATTCTTCCTGCCCTCAGTGGCAAATAAAAAGGATTCAGGTTGCCAGTTAGTGCCAGTAGCAATTCTAGAGTGGCACTTCAAATCAGGCATCATGGGTCCATGCACAGTATGACTGGAAGAATTACAGAATCATAGGGTACAGAGTGCAAGACAAGACTCTCTATGCTCTATTAGTGGGCACCATCTGCACAAGTAAACAAAAAACCAGCAATATCTTTTGAATAAAGATACATTTTGGAAACAGCTCCAGTGGCCTGGCAAGTCCCTGTCTCTCACAGATCTATGCTTTCAGACAGAAGACTACACAATTAAAATATGTCTGAAAGCAAAGTATTTTGTGCTTCAAATATCAGTAGGATATTATGTTTGCTAGGGAATCGCAAACCAACTTTGAACTCCACTAAAAAGGTTAACACCTTGTAAATAAAATAAATAACAAAACTTTGTAATAATCAAAACCTTGTAAATAAAGAGTACCAAGTACAGTAGGAGTAACACAGTACATGCCCTGAAAATCAGGACTAGGACCAGGACATCAGAGATTCACTGAAAATACCAGCACTGTTGAAGAGATTGTGAATATTCATGATCATCTAAGCTTTTAATGTTAAGAAAAAATCCTACTGCAGCATGTATATATTGTTTAGGTTATGCTTATATTCCCTATGAGAGGGTTTTTCTTTCTTTCCCCATTTCTGCCAGAAGGAATAACTAGCACAATTGCTTCCTGTGCATGAACACTGAATGACTTGGGGTCTTCCAACAGTCTGTATTGTTTCAACCTAACTTTAGAGCCTGTATTTTTCTTTCTTTCCCCATTTCTGCCAGAGTTCTAGAAGGAATAACTAGCACAACTGCTTCCTGTGCAGTATGAACACTGAATGACTTGGGGCCTTCCAACAGTCTGTATTGTTTCACCCTAACTTTAGAGCCTGTATTTGCACATTCTTAAAACTGAAATATTCACAAGTCTCAAAACTTCTGTTCTAGCACATAAAATGTGGCTCTCATTTGATGATTGGTGTTCACCATAACTTGAAGACAGTGGAAGATGTAAATACTGAGCACCATGTTTCTGTTCTCCCACCATTTCCAAACAGACAAATTACTTAATAAAAAAACAACCCATGGCCATGTTCAGTTCCTGTGCCTATTTAAAACATGAAATGCATTTTGTGAAATGAGGCCTTGGAAGTCCTCATTTTCTCCTTGTCCATCCTGAGTGAAAATATTCGGTATTAAGCAAAAAGGCAAGTACCTGACGAAGTCATCAGGTTTAGCTGACATTAAAAATTGGCCAACGTTCCCCATGCTTGGCTGGTAATGGTAGCAATATTAATAATTTCAATTCTGTGGCACCCGTGGAACTAGCAGGTATTTTAAGTATCCCATACTCCATGATCTTGGCACCCATTACAGACTGGTTATTAGGGTCATATTAAATCTCTGTATGCCTAACATTTCATCCTGAATTTTCTTTCACACACTAATACCTCATAAAAGAGAGATATTACCCAGACATCCCTGTACCATCAAAGAGACAAGAATACAAGGCAACTCCACAGGAACTTTGGTGAAGAACCATCAATTATTTGAAGCAGAATATTTTAAATTTCCATCAAAATGTATGTGTATTTTAATAAATATATTTTACTAATGAATATCATATGTATTTTCTGTAGGTGAAAATGTTGCTGATATGTGCAGTTATAGCTAGATTATATGGAACAAGTATTTTCTGAAGCTTTTTCCTGCTTGGATGAATGGAAATGCTTCCCAATTATTTCCTGAGATGTGAAACTGGACAAGAAAAGGTTTTAGTATTTTCCACCCTCACCAGATTAAATCTTTTGCAATATATGAATGTATTTTAATATTTTATTTTTACTTAGCTGTAAAGATTTTGTTGTACACAGTATAGAAGTGATATGACAACTGGAACTGAATATTAGATCTAACTGAGCCTTCTCCTTTGTGCACACAAGAAGAATGTCCCCTAGGGATTTTTTACCAACATTTCATCCTTGATAGATTTTGCTATGCTGGACCTTGAGTTATTATTCCTCACTCTTTTCTGCCTAATATATCTCATTAGCAGCATTTTTTCTCTTATTCAACATTTTCTGAATTTCACCCCTTTGTCCTAATCATATCAGCCCAGCTATTACTACTCAACCTGTTAAATATCCTGTTTTATATATAAATGTGTGTTTGTGTGATTTGTCAGCATTATGTAAAAGTGAACTTTAGAAACTTACTGGCAGAAGCATCCCAAAATTTTACTGATCCATCTGCATGGCTTAAAAAAAAGATAAAAATTAAATGTGTTAAAACAAGATGCAATTCTAAAACATTGTCTACTTTCAGTGACTAATAAATACAACCAGAAAAAAAAAATTTGTTTATGTAACTTTCTATAACTTACTGACAACATGTTAAAGACATACATACAAACTAGAAGAAAATGTTTTGTTATTTGGTTTCATTTGGTTAACAAAATATTTTTATGCATTTCCTGCAGAGAGTTAAGCTCCCAATGAATTTTAAGATTGCAACAAGAAGAAATGACTTCCCATACTAATAACAAGTTTAAGTCACAGCACTTTTGGCTTTGCAGTGGGCCAGCATCAAACCTATCACACTAAAATTGCCATGGACAGTGAACTTTGAAAGGACAGAAGGTAACTTCATTTTGCTTGATAACTTCACAACTGTGTTCCTTTTAGTAACATAAAATTGCTGAAGCAAAGCTGGAAAAAGGAGACATTCTTTTTACAATGAGAATGATCTCTTTATCACCTTCTCTTACTACTGCATACATCATAACCTTATTTTCGTCAGGTCTTTAGTATCATTGATAGCAATTCATCAAACACATGACTGAGACCAGAGGAAAGCTCATTGTGCATCTTAGCTGAATGAACAGTGTCTGTTTTACAGTATGATCCCTTGGGAATCCACCAGGCACTGCTGATGGGGCTCCCACTGCAATCTGAGCCTTTATTTTTGCTCTGTTTCTCTGCCCACAAGATGAAATTCATCCCAGTGCACCACACACTCACTAATGCTGAGTATTAAAATGAATTCCCAAACTGTCCCCAGACAGAGTCCAGAAGGCCAGGGGGACAACAGCTGCTCTGCTTTTTGAAGCTATTCTCTGTGACCTTCAAGGCCAGAATATTCTCTTGCAATAGATTTTTTTTTTCAAAGACCCTGCCTTCACAAGCATTGCTATCTAACACTGGGGCCTCAAACTATCATTCTTAGTGGTAGCTCAACCCTAAGTTCTGCTTTCTAGAGCAAAAGAGAATTTCTGTGGTGACACTACCCAAGTGAAGAGCCAGGAAATGCATATGCAGTGAAGTCTCAACTCTTATCTATAGCTAACTCACAATCAAAAGGAGTAGACACAAATAGTTGAAAGTACCAATCCCCAGTTTCATTCTCACCCTGTAATAATGATTTCAGGATATGTCTGAGCTCCAAGGTTCCATGCCCCACCACTGATAGGCCACTCCTAAACAAACGAAAGTGCAGAGATCACAACTTATTCTGCTGAACCTTGCTTGGATACTTTTAAAATTCAGGAGTAGACAACATCTTCCCCCAAAAAGCAATAAAACTTGTTAAAGAACAAAAATTTGTATAATTCAAGGCTTTTACAGTTTATTTGTATTTTTGTGTCATCAGTTCAGGCTTTGGAAACTTAATAACCCTTTTATATTATTAACTAATTTTCTATGCTTTAAAAATATTTCCACACAGCTAACATTCAACAACCTAAAGCAGGAATGAGGAGTAACAAACAATTCTGCTGGTCTTTTGAGATGGCTTTTCTCTTGGAGATTCTATAGAACACTGAAGAGACCGAGAATTTATTTTGAATACAAAGACCACTGAAGAAGCTGGCCCAGAAACAAGTATCAGAGCATGATGCCATGAGATACAGAACATATGTTTTACAGAACATATGGGATCATCATCTCTTCCTTGCCTCTTCTTTACTAATGGTCTAGAATGCTGCCCTGTGCCTAAAGCCCTGACGTGTGTGGATACAGGATGCACAGGGTGACACATGTGCAGAGTGGGTCAGGATGTGTGCAGAGTATGAGTGGGGGGAGAAAAACCTGGAGCACAAACTGTTGGTGAGGATACATGGAGTGGATGCTTGTGGGTACAGAAATGGGTGCCTGGCACGTGCGTGACCACCTGCCTTCAGCAGAGTGCATTTGTACGTGCACAAATAAAGCAAGGGGGCAAGAGAGGATGCAGGGAATGCAGGCAGGTGTGTATGAGGTAAGGGTAGATCCAAACAGGAGAAACAAAAATATTTTCTGAAGTACTTTTGCGAACCAAGATGCAAAAGAAGTAGAGAGGGCTCACACTTTGAGTTAATGGAAAACAACCCAGCTCCAAGGAGAATACTTCCATTGATATGAATAGAAAATTGATTATGTCTGACTTGTTTACCCAGTATTTTTTTCTACTTTATTTATTAAAATGCATTAGTTCTAGCCAAAATACAAACCAGTTAAAAGCTTGAAATTTATAAATTAATTGTATTTCTTCTTTTATTTCCTGAAGTTTGTCCTATTTCTACAGCATTATGGTAAGACTTTGGTAGCTCAGTAAAATAATTATTATTATTATCCTTATTTAATAACAGATCTCACAGATGTTGTCAACTCTCACTGAACATCTGCCTAAGTCTTTCAGTCTTAATGCTTTCACTTTTTTCTTTATTAGAGAGAACCTATCCTTACAAATTTGAGTTGTACACTGATGGCTCTCCTTTAACACAATCTGGTCTGGAATAACTCCAGCATCTTAATGATTAAGTCCCATCTAATGATAATTAATGGTTCTGCTTAAGTGGTCATGTTTCTGAGGGACAAATAGTGGACTGTAATCAGGCTGCTAAGCCGCTGGTTGGACTAACCTTAAAGTGATCATTAAAGGAGTAAAAGAAAAATAATTTGGTAAGAGGTTACAAAAACACAGGTTACACATCTACTTCCTTTGCTTAAAACAAGAATATTGGTTTTGTTTACCTTATTGCTGTATCCTTGCTTTTTATGTTTTGCTCCTACAGAATAGAGCACAGGGATCAAATCTGGAGGACAGTCCGCAAAATATTCTGTGCAGGTAACAGGTGACTCATGAATGTCAATAGGATATGGATTTTCAAAGATTGGAAAACTAGTTAAGGAAGACAATTTATTAGAAGCGCTGTGACACACTGAGCCATAGAATAAAACATATTCTTATATTAAAGTATATAACAGAATTTAAGTAAAATCACTACTAATTAAATATATTTTCCCTTATTTATTCAAACTTATGTACTGTTTTTAGTATCAGTAATAATGTGTAGTTACTCTAATAAAGACATAAAAATTCAACAAGACAAGAATCCTACATAAATAGTCCCTAAGGCTAATAGGGCTACCTTTATGAATGAACAAGAACTAATTTTTTTCTGACATCTCAAAATCTTATTATACAGAAGTGACACATCTTCCAGAAGTTTCAGGTTCATGGATATGATATATACTATGAACTACAAACTTTTACAATTGTGGCTTTTATATTGAACATCTTATCTTATTGGGTTGGTACATTTCTGATTATACAATGAAAAATTGCAATAACAGATGAGTAGATCTCAGTTTATTTCTCACTTCCATCAGTTTGAACAGCCTGATAAGGAGGAAAACCTCACTTTTCACACATTATACAATGCTATTCACTGAAAAATATAGGAAATACGGTTCTGATTTCAGTAATGTCTATTTTACAATTCTGAGATTATCTGAATTATTCTTTAAAGTAAGTGAGATCTGAATATGATTCACTTAACATTTTTCAATACGTTGACAGCAAAATCTGTTCCTTGTTACACCAGTGTGAATGTGGATGTCCATTACTGGTAGTGTTGGAGGCAGAACAAAATAAATAATTGGATTATGCTTTACATGATATAGAGTTCCTCTTTGATAGGAACATTGATTCTGATATGAAAGAACTATTTGTCATTTAAACCAGCAACTGGGTCATGAAGTAATTCTGTAGATCCATATAAAACAATGCCATTATTTATTAAGATACTGAGGCTAGACATGCATAAAAGTAGTTGTTGAATCTTATTTCCAAATCACATGTGTGTTCAAATGCTATTTAACTTTGGTGTTGAATGAACATTTGAGGACTGTGCTGAAGGGACTGCAGATTTAGATTTATTCCAAAGTTTAAGAACAAATATTATCATAAGTTCCTGTTCAAGAGATTAACTTAGTTCTTAAAGGGGAAGTAAATATTTAGCAGGAGTTATTTCCAAGAGTGAATGATTTTGGATAGTTAAATTATTTGGAATTTTATGGTAATTTACTGGACAATTGAACACACAAATAACTTCATCTAAAACTTTATACTTACTTGCTTTGTGTCAGGTCAACGACAATGAGATCTTTTTCCAAAAGCACAACTACAGCATAGGGTTCTTGAAATTCTGTAAGCAAGGAATCAAGTACAAAAGACATGGAGTTCTCCTATCAGCCATTTTAAGCAAGCAAGCAATATTTATGTTCTTTAAACTTTCACAGTATATTAGAAGCTTTGAGGTATAAACCCTTGACATTGCACAAACCAGCCATAGCTGGAAACTAGGGCCAGAGAGGAAGTAGGAAATTACTTTTGGATACTGCTGTTGGCAAACACACAAAGCAGCAGAAGAATTGGAGCATTATAGCCTGCCAGCATGATGTTATGTTGAAAGTAAAGAAGTAGAATATGAATAAGTTGTGTGTATCATTGTATTATTGAATCCAATTGTTATACAGAAAAAGTATTTTTGCTGTCCAAAAGTAATACTTCTACTGTGTACAACTGCTCTTCAGATGGTGCAGGACACTTCATGATACAAAATGCCCCCATTCAAGTATTTTTGCTGTCCAAAAGTAATACTTCTACTGTGTACAACTGCTCTTCGGAAACAGATTGTGCAGGACTCTTCATGATACAAAATGCCCCCATTTCTGAGGTGATTCAAGGAGAATATTCACTAGGAATTCTGTAAGTCTGCTGTTTTCAATTCAGGTGATAACGTGCCCCTTCCTCCCACACACTCTTTAGGGGATTATACGGCTTGGTTCTTTTCAAAACTAAAGAATTAAGATAACAAATAAAAGCTTCTCTTGATGCATAGAGTATATTCATTTACATACTTTTTATAATTTACATTTTTTGTTAAAAAATACAAATGTGAAATTACTACTTTCTTTTCAACAGCAGCAAATCATTCCAGCACGTGCAAGCTCAGAATAAACTGTTCAGATGGGAGATGCCAAAAGGACAAGTAAATGAGAGCAACTGATTCATCTTCCTTTCAGTCCTGCTATGAATGCACATTATTTTTTGCCTGTTTTTATACTTGGCTATAAATAACACAAGTTTAACCAAAATGTTTAAATATTGGTCTGTGAGCAGGGGAAGATGCTACAAAACCCAAGTACTGGGAAGTATTTGACACAGTTAAATGAAGGCCCAGAGCAACTCTGATTAAATTAAAATTAAATTTTTGCATTATATTGAAGCGCAAATACACTTTAGTAAATGTTTTTAATGTGTATTTGGTTTAGCTATTTATATAAGATTTATTTTACTTTTCTGCTTGAGGGCTTAAAATGCTAAAGTTAGTTCATTTTTGACTTACAGCTTTTCTTGATTTATGTTCTGGAACTTTCTGACAACATATTTCAGAACTTGGCAGCCCCACAGTATGCAGCAAACATAACACTTAATTTCATGCTGAAGTGTAAGAACTTTTTTGCAGGTAAGTGATAGTTAAATTTTCATAATTTAGCAAGCTGTAAATGATGAAAAATTTCAGAAATATAAGCACCTATCTTTGATTAATAGCAATGTTTTCTCAGAGTAGCCCATGGGTTTTAATCCTATAAGTGGAGATTTATGCACATTTTATTGTCCACTTACTACTTGCTTCCTACACTGAAAATGCAAACAAGTTCCAGGTACTTTCAGTTATGTAGTTTTCCCAAGATGAAGACAAATATAAGGATGGAAGTCCCTGGGATGGGATTAATGTATGAGGAAAGATCACTTTGTTTATAGTTTCCATAACTGTATTTTTCCCAATAAACTCACCGTTTGGATATGGGGTTTCACAAAGAGTTAAAAAATCAACTATAGGATGATCCATTTCAAGAACTGTAATTGCTTTCCCATGCATGATTGTTAAACTTGGTCTTCGACAAGGCTTATCATATGACAGTCCACCAGAAAATATCACAAATGGTTCACTGTATTAAAAAAACCAAGTGTAAGTCTACATAGTACATACAAGTCTACATTATAGGTTCAGTATCTGCAAATAACAATAAACAGATTTGCAAAAAGAAAGCAGGAAAAGATTCTAAAAGGACATAAACTCAGGAACATATTATTGAGTTAATTACAGAATTAAAAACAAACCTGTTTTTACAGGTCTTGTACTCTACTTTAAGAATTGGTTTACAAGATTCAGGTTTTTTTCCATCTCTTTGAACTTTTCCTAAGGAAAGAAAGAACATGGAAACTATTAAAACATGAAATTGAATGATCAAACTAAAACATATACATTGAAGTAACCGTATAAGCAACAAAAAAAGGAACTTTAAAGCTACAAAAGATTAGGAGTATTAGCTCCTATTTCCATAAAATATACATTTGTCTAAATTTATAAACTACATTTATTATGTCTTTGTGTTTTTACTGCCACATACATCTAAAGAACCACAGAACACACTTCAAAGACATCTATAAACCATGCAGATTTCTGAGTAAGAAACTTAACTAATAATGAATGAATCAGACTAATTATGTGTCTTTTTTTCTGAACATGTAATGACCAGAAACAGCTTAATTTTTTCCTAAGCCATTCTTAGATTGACTTAATTCCTGTTGTTGACAAAACATTACCTGCTTTGCAGTGTAACCAGTTGAGTGGTAAAATTAAATGAAGCATGCAACTGAAATTCATTAGTTCTTGTTTAATTATGGCTCAGTACTTTCTTCCAATCAGAGAAAAGTCACTTGCAAACTAAAAAAATAGCCATTTTGGGTTTGTTGCTTTGGAAAGCCTATACTTGCTTCTGACAACAGCCTGACTGGAGGATGCAGTGTAGATGGATAAAGACTTTTCTCAGAGGTGCACAGTGCTATGATGGGAGATAAAGGACATAGGTTGTGGCATGGAAAATTCTGGTTAGATATTAACAAAATAATTTGTGCCACACAGATCATTAAATACCAAAAGATATTCCCAAAGAGGTTGTGCAATTTTTTGCTGGAAGTGTTCAAGTGACCAGTGTCCTGAGTTTACTCATCAAACCAAGCCTGTTTTGATCTGGTCATCTGACTGGTTGCGAGCTCCCTTCTGACATTGTAGAATTCTATGACTAAAAATTATAGAACAGAAGTAAATTAAGAAAATGCTAAATCCTTCTGGGACTATTTAGACCTTGACTTCTTCTCCTTCCTCCCTCTCTACAGTCAGATTTCTTAGTAAAGTAAACGTAAATGTATACATTTACAATGTTGTCAGTACTTTTAAATCTAATTTGTAGGAAGCACTTTTATATAAAGTCCCACACATAAAGATAAAGCCATCTCTTACTATGGCTCCTTTAAATTCTTCATTGCAGTTCTTTGGAAAGCCTTGTACCATCCTCATGACAAACACCACAGTACCTTGTACAAAACGCATTACTTTGTTGTGAAAATTGCACATAAAAGTACAAACTATAAAAGAAAGAGCCTGAGGGCCTCACAGACCAGCAGTAGACTCTTAAAAGGAATTGGATAAGACATTAGAATAATATAAATCAGAAAGAGATATTTATGACACCAATTACAATAAAAAGTTTGATCTAAGTTACTGATTTCACAATAATTTGCAGCTACTTTGCAGATCAAAATATTTAGGCAAGAAGCAACATCTGGGCTACAAGGAAAAATTAAATAAACCTACATATTAGAAAACAGCATGGAGAACACTGCATTGCTTCTTAGTTATACGTTTTAACTATCAGAATTACCGTGTGGAATTGTGGTCTGGAATGGTCTGTTAGGGCTTTTCAGATTCCACAGGGTCAAGCTGCCATCAGAGTGACTACACATGAACTGCTTCCCTTCATGATGCCAAGCAACAGAATGAATAGCCTAGAGAAACGAAAGAAGAACTTGAGCCTGGAATGGAATACAGTGTTGACACTAATGATATTTTCATGTATGACTTCAGATTATATTGTTCTAATGGTATGTCAACAGTTGGACAGTTCCTGTTTGTCTGAAGTCCAGTACCATCAGTTTTTAGCAACAGATGGCTGTAATCCACATTTCATCATAAAGGCTAATGTAACACAGTAATGTAAGAAAGCCTGTACCGAATCAGGCCAAAATTGAAGGAAAAGGGTATTAAGGTAAAAGTGTAAGAAAAAGGGCCATACAGTGCAGTTGTAATATGTCTGATAGCTCTCCTTAGAAGTATTTAATCTGGTAAATTTACAGGAAATTGTGTGCAAAAATCTTTACAAGTAACATACAACACACAGAGCCTTCCCCAGAGGAAGCAAAACACTGTTCTTGGATAATTTCCACACATACTCTCACATACTTAAGTTGCAGAGCAAGTCCACAGAAATCTGGGATGTTTAATGTCAAAACCAAAATAATGAAAAATCCAGGACTGTTTCACTGCTATAGAAAATTACCAAAACAATGATGTAAGATTGTTTTGAAAGAGATAGTGCACCAGAGGAGAGGAATATCACACTCCTTTGTGCATACTACAAGAAACACATGATGAATGTTACGTACACCATTCTTAGTATTTTGTGCGTAATTAGTGGAGCTGAAAATATCCATAGTTACATCAAACTACTGGAAAGGATAATGGGGTAAGTCCTTCAATTTCCCTGATATGTGCTGGAAACTAACAAAAGCCATATTCTGAAAAAACATTCATTCTATACCACAGTTCCTCACACACTCCTCACAGAAGCACAAACTCACAGAATTCTCCCTTGAATCCATATCCCTTCCAGAAAGGTTCACTGCTAAATAGCAAAAACCACAATATAATTTTATGTAAATGAAAATAAAAGAGATCTATTTTTGAATGCAGCTTAATAAATTCCCATGTTTTCTTTTTTCAACCTAGGAAATGCTAAGGCCTTGCATGCAGTTAAAATTGCATATAGGCATTTGCCTGATTTATTTAAATGACTTAACATCATGCCTGGGTATTCATAAGTCAGCACTGCAGCTCTTCATATTAATTTTGTTTAAGTGCTACTGGCCAGTATTTAAAACTCCCTGTTGGTTTTCCTCTTTTAATCATTATATTGATTGTTATGGTTGGTTACAGCTCATGGTCTGGAGAGAGGATCAGAAGAAATCAACCAAAGGGCCACAACCCTTTACCAAAGCTTTACTCAGCTCCTGGGGCTGGACAGCGGAGCCACAAATGAGTTTGCATTAAGATGACCCAGATGTTTTAATGGGAATCTGACATGCCTTGTATATGAATGCTTGATTAACACACTACTAAAATAATAGTGCCAAAAAGGAAGCAAAAAAAGGAGCTGAAAAAACTTGAACTCTAGATATTTATGTTTTGGTGGCATAATGGGTATCACCCAGACTTCTACCTTGCAGAGAGGGAGCTGGTACACAATTCCTCTTAAATAATCAGAAGAAACCTAATTATAACTGAAGTAACAAAATACAACACAGAAAGATGATTCATGCAGAGTCCAGTGTTGTTGCCTTCAGGTACAATAACCTTAGTTCTGTGGGGAGCACTGCTTCACTTACACTGAAGGCATGTCTATTCTCATGCAAATTAATTCTGACACGAGCTCATTCATGCTTGCTATCATGCCAAATTTGAATCTGGTTTTGATGTGTTGTCACACTTAGAAACATTTCACATGGTTACAGTCACTGACTATGTATGAGCAGGAGATGGCAACTAGCTAAAAACCATACGGAGCTGCTTGTTAAACTGCCTCTCCGTGCCCAGGTGCCACCTGCCAGCATACACCGCCCTTGGAGGGAAGCTGAGGGGGGATGATCCTGGCACAGACAGCTGGCATAGCAGCAACCCAAACTGACCTGTTAGACTTTGCCACAAAATGGACAAGAAAAACAGAAATGCTTTTGGAGGTCTCAGCTGCAAGTCACGAGTAATTCTGAAAGGTGGTCCTGAACAAGTCCTGAATTTTCTCTCTGCTAGATTATGTCTAGATTCAGATCCACTTCTTTAGCATTTACACACAAAAGGAGCAGTTATTTGCTTAGAACAGGAGTTCCTCATGATGGGTGGCTCATGTGAATGTTCACACAGTGTGTGCACATAAAGCATCTCACTCCAGATTAGGTATGTTTCTCCTTCTGCAATACCCACAGCTGTTGCATACACATTCCATCTTCTCTCACACTCAGCATGTACCAAAATTAAGCATGCCTAATAGCATTTCAGTTCCTTCCCAACCACAAACCTTCACCACTGAGGGTCTTTAGTACCACTTTTAACCATATTTTGGAATGAGCAATGCTTGTCTCATCTTACTATTTGAATGCTAAAAGTCCTTTCTGTTTGTAGTACTGCAGGACCATTACAGCAAGGGCCACATCCAATTTGATAGTTCCGTAGTGACATGGTGCTAGACAAAGGTAGGGAGCTGTCATTTGGCAAATGTCTCTGAGAATTCTGCATCTTCGTTTTGGGGATGTGTTCCAGTGAAAGATGACAACTGCTTCAGACATCTTTGAATGGGGATTGATGCAAACTTCTAAAGCCTGCACAGGAAGATGGCTGGATTTTGGGCTTGCCAACTAGCAGTAACAACTTGAGAAGCATTTGAAAGATCTGTCTTGTTTATGTGCTGTCTTTTTATACCACTTGATGGAAATAAACTTTTCCAGGAAATTATAAAAGAGCTTGAAGGAAAGCCTTTTATAGAAGGCATTGTGTAGGAGCATTGTTTAGAAGGGCCTCAATATCTCATGCATATCACCATTGAGAAGATGAAAATCAAAATGATAGTAAGAAAAGTGAGGGTGAATTAATTTAATTCAGAACTCATGCAAAGAGGCACTTTGGTACTTAATGAAGATACAGAACACTTACAGGAATTTATCTGAGACTTCACAGATACCCTGCAACTGGAACTATTCTGGCTCAGTCCCAGAAAAATACTGAGAGAATGGTCAGACATCGTGGGGCACAGAGGCCTTCCATCAGTGCAGACAGCATGGTGAAGGGGAGCAGGAACGATGACTTCTGGACTGTGATCTTTGGTGGCCAACCCATAACATGAGGCTCAGGCTTGCTAATTTGGGTTGCTACTAAATACCAAATGGCACAGGCCAAACTAGTAATTTTTTACTCACAGAACCTATGCAATCCAGGATTTAAAAAAGACCCCTTTTTAGTGGCTCCCTAAGGGTTGTGGCTTCCCTGAGGGAATTCTAGCAGGTCTGGAACATTATGAACATGGAGCCTGAAAGTCTGGAATAAAGTAAAATGGCTAGTCAAACAATCCTCTTAAAAACAAAATAAGAATCTTGCAATTATTTCAGTATATAAGAAGCTAGCACAAGTTGCACAAAGTGGAGTAATCACATAGCAAATAACCACTGAGAAAGAAAGCATGGGACTGATTAAAAGGCAAAAAAAAAGTTCCTGAGAACAGTACTGAAAAATGTGGAACAACTAAATTCTAAATTGTATGAGGAATTTTCAACATCCACCCACTCTGCCTCAAAATGAAAAAAAAAAAAAAAGGGAACCAGCATTAAGAAGATCCTGCTTCATGCAGTCTCATTCTGAGTACAAGAGAGGACAGAGAGTGAACAGACATCCCCACCCCCACCCTTCCTGAAGAGACCTGTAAAAGGAAGAAGTTGTTCAGCCTTAAGTAATAGAAGGGGTGCAATTTCACAAGTGTTTGCACAAGCAGACTGTCACTGAGAGACAAGTCAGTGGGCATATCTTGAGGCTTTAGTGCTGGCCTTTTCAAACTTGTCCTTTGAAACATTTGCTATGTTGATGCTCAGAAACTTAACCTTGAAGCTCAGAGTAGCTTTAATGTGTCTCTGACAGCAGGTCTGAAAGAGTGCAGGATCCATATGTACTCAGATTGCTTTTTAGAGGGGAAATAAATGTGTATACACTCCTTATACATAGCAAGGTGACAAGATGAAGAAAGAAAGAGAACCACAGGAAACCAATTACTGTCAGGATCACTTTAAAGAAAATGTCCTTTTCTGCCTTCAGCTGTAGTTGCATTCACGTTCATCCATGGTGAACTTCAGAGGACTGGCAGAACAAAGAATATTCTTTCCTAGAGCTAGTGCTAAAATCATAATAACTAGGCGTATATCTATTTCTCAAGCAGCTTGATTATTGATACAAGAACTGCCTCTGTGGTTAACACAGGCTGCTTACAAATGACAAGAGACAACTGTGTGACAACTATGACAATATAATTTTGAAAAGTGTTTAATCAGATCTTAAGTACTAGGCAATATCAATGGCTGTAGAAAGCAATTTGTCTTCCAATATAATGAATGTTCTAGATATACCCAGTAGAGATTATTATGTAATTCCTATTGTAGCTATATCTCAGGTCAGCTCCTGGACTCTGTTCAACTGAGGATCCCCACAGAGAAGTTGATGAACTCGTCAGGATCGAGGGGAGGACATTCTGCATCACAGTACACTCATAAGAGCCTAAAGCATCACAACTAAAGATTTCAGACTTTGATTTCTATTGTCAGTACTTTGCCCAAAAGCGTAGCACAAACAGTATTTCCAAAAGCAGCAATGCCTTTAGATAAACATCCATGTGCTTGGTAAGACATATGGCAAACTGCTGAATAATGGCTGTGCTGAATTAATGGAAACTGCTTACCTCATCATAATAAGCTCTCAGATCGGCTCTTTTAGATCGTAAGTCCCAGAACACGATGGTCCCATTTTCATAGCCTATCAACAGCTGGAGGAGGGAAAAAAACCACAATTACGTTTTCTGATTCAAAAGGTACATATAAACATTGAGTTATATAAAAAGAAATAACAAAGTGATGTGCAAGACTGTAATTTGTTCTACACATAATACCTTGATTTCAAATTATCTTTCAGTATAAATTACTTCACATTGCTGGCAATTTAAGATCTGACATGGAACAAGAAAAGAGTTTATACACCTTTTTTTTCCCCTGGATTATTATATACCTGGACAGTCTTCTCAATTGCATATCTGCTGAAAATCAAAGACTGTAGCATGTTCCTACCAGCTCTTATCTTTCCTGCCCATTGTTGGAGAAAAAAATGTTTGACACCCAAGATACCACCTAAATAACTTCAAACTAAGAGAGTCACCAGATTAAACTTTCATTTAGCTACTTATATTCCTTTTATTTATGTTTGCTATTGCTTTAAAACATTCTGAAGAACTCCTCCAGCAGATAATAAATCACTTTCCGAATAATTAAAAATAAATTAACTGATATGTCAATTTCTACTTCTTATAGAATTGGGATTTCATATCATCATGCACACCAGAGAAATACCAGCAAAGATTTCCGAAAAGATGAAAGAGAAGAAAAACAATAGTCAGGAGAAAAATAAGAATGAACACAACCATATCTCCTTGTCTCCACTCAAAAGAAGTAAAATATTGATCTGGTACTGTGGAGTAACTCTTCATTTGAACACAATTAAGTTCAGATCTTATGGACAATATCATGTCTAGCTTATTTAGGTGTCCCACAGAATCTGTCTTCTTAAGAATCTGTTCTGGACATGAAGACTGGAAATGGCTAAACTGACAGACTTACATTTCTGTGATAGAATATTTTATACAACTGGCAATGATAATTGCAGTTATTCATCCTCTGTAGACAGATATATCACAGAATGCAGGCAAGGATTTACAGTTTCTATATAAAGAATTTGTGAAGAATAATGACAATTTCTTAGTTGGAGAAACCTTAACAGCATCTTTGCTATCACTCACTTTAGTTTGCATGAGTACTAAAAATGAAATTTGGCTGGGCTGCTAAACAAAACATCATTTTCTCTCCAAGTTAATTATAACTGATACATCAATACTGCTACAAAAGAGCCCGGGAATACTCTCAGTTCTACTGGATATCATTCTTTTTATTGAGAGGAGAATATTCCTTATGTGGAATCTTCTGCTAATCTGGAAACAATTTATAGTTAATACATTTAATACCTGAATATGAACAATAACTACTTATGCTGCTGAATAATTATTCTCCTGAAAAAAATTCAAACTGTCCAGGAAAAATTACAGAATATTTAGCATTTTTGTTCTGGATGGCTCCATATGGGATTTTGTGGCAGAGTCAGAAAGCACGCAGATAACTGGATACCTCTTGTGTCAGGATGCCATATGGTATTCTGGGATAATAGGTTGCCATTGAGATAGTGAACAAAGGAGGGTCTTACTGCAGCTGCTTGCACTGTTGGTACAGCAATCCCAAATGGAAGCTATTTGTATATCCAGGAGTTAGTGATGCTCACAGCAGTTCACCTGAGTAGGTGCAGCTCTGTGCTGCACATATTTCTTGGCCGCAGGGTAAACTCAGCTGCTAATTCTAAAGGACCTTGTAGGCCTCTCCCACTTGATAAAGGTAAGGACAGCACCATTGTGCCTTTATCTTAATGTCAGCCAGCATGTCTGATGTGAACATCCTTTTGCTTGACAGTAGAAATGGATATGGTGCTCTAAAAAAAAAATAAATCTTTTGGAATCTCCAAAGACCAAAATGCTGGTGAGAGCCTCTTCACAGAGGACGGTGCCATGCCCTTTTTGGAGGTTCATCCAGTGCTACACAGCTTGGGGTTATCACCCTCCTTTTTGTATTTACTCCAATAAATAGTATTTTATTAAGTTATGGAGTGTGAGTGCCCTCCTTACTGTCATCACAGCAAGCACTTGCACCTGTGCATTACAGCTGGGTACCAAACCAGTCACATTCAGCTTGTATCTACCAGTATTTTTTTCACCTCAGCTTTTGTACAAATATATTCAGAAAAGTGAAGGAATTGAAAAGCATTTAGTATGTGGCCCTGTTTCTTAATAAGCCTTTCTTCCCTGGGGAAGCAGGTTTGCCTTTTGATTTTTATACCTCTCTTTTGCAAATATATCATGCTCCAGGTAATTACTAAAAGGTTAAGTGCCTTTTATCAGAGGCTGCATTTCACCTGAACTATTGCTAAAATGCTTGATGCTCAACTGCAATAAAGAATTGCAAGTTACAAAGTAAGATTTCAGGGGAGAAATTAAAAGGCAAAGAGATCTTCTGCATAGCCAGGAAAGTCTCTTTTTGTTCAGACAGTAGTCATGCTGCTTTAGTACCAGCACTGTGGTACAGCACTAAAGCCACAATTCCAGCTTGGGTGAATGGGATTATTCTCATGGTCAGGATATTTCTGATGCTCTGGATTCTGACCTGTCTGAACCATAGGAAAGTCAAACATTCCCACACCTCTCAGTCATAGGGATCACTTGGGAGATCTATAAGACAAGTTCTATTTCTGTAATAGAAGTAAAAAACAAAACATCCATAAACAAAGTTGGAGAGGAAAACCTAGACTAAGAAAAGCAGAATCTGTAAAAAGAGTCAAGGATGGAAAAAACTCCAAAGATTTATCTTTACTTTTGTGGCACCTCATTTAACTACTTGTGCTTAATCAGGTTACAAAAAAAGCAGAACATGGGACAGAATTTGGAAAGAGAAGTCCTGGCAAGATCTTCCTTGTTTAGGAGAGTTGTTTCACATTTTGACTTACATTGTTCTTCATCAAATGCTTTTGATGATGCGAGGAAATTTCTTTTTTACAGTTGACTAATTATATTTTGGTACATGACAGCAAGCCCCTTCCTTGTCCTGGTAACACAAAACAGCCAGAGAAAAAATCCCAAACAAATAAGCCTGCCAAACAGGCTTGTTTTTTAGGTATTATTAGATCTCAGAACTCAGACTCAGAGATAGAAGTTTAGCCCACCAGCTAATTGTAAATAACATTAAACCTTTTTCTATTAAGCTTTCTCCATTTGCTGGGAAACTGCAGATTGTTGCAATTAATGTCTTTTCCTTTGTCAGCAAGAAAAATCATGTTTGCTACAGATCTGCCACTTATAAATGTCTGTGCACTCCAGTCTCTCCCTAATGTACACTTATTAATTGATTTGGCAGACCCAGTTATATTTCATGAACTTAATCACTTGGTCCCTGACTTGTTCTTCAGTGACACATTAAATGCCTAAATTCTTTTTGATGTTTGTCTTCTAGCCACAGCTTGTTAGATTCATAAAAGAGACTTGTTTCCAAAGCCTGCCTAGATAGGTTGCCTGGAGGTCACTCTGGAGAAGTTTTGAAAGGCAGAAGTCATCTTGAATTGCATTCACTCTTTTGACACAAGGAACCCCATCACCAGTCAATGAAAGAAACAGGAACTTTTAAGAATTCAAAGGATCTTAATGGAAAAGGTGAAGATACTGCCAGAGAACAAACTTTCCTGGATTTCAAAGAGAGCTCTTACGTTTGTCCTAATTTGGAAAGGTCTGACTACGTTTTAGGACTCTAAACCACTCAGTGTTCATAGAAGAAATATTTGTTTACTTCAGCAAAACAGTCCCAGGTCTGTAAACAACTTTGTAATACCCCAGAGAAGGCTATACTACTGGACTCTGGCAAAGTACCTGTAGAGTAGTAGTCTGGTAGAGTACAAGAACATCTGCATTTTGAGTAATGATTATGACTGATTTGTACCTACTATTTAATTCCTGAAACATATGCAAAGAACACTTCTATCTGCTGCCTATCATGATGTGATGTGTGAAGTCTGACTTCTGCCTCCAATAAATTTTGGTTGTCTTTGGTTAGCTTGGAGCTGTGGAGATTAGCAAAGTGTGTGGAACTGCCATCAAACAGCTCTTTTATCTAAGAATAACTCTGCTAAATTAATAAAAGTCTACCTATGACGGCATCTTGTACTGGAATGCCCACGAGCAAATACCAAATAATATGGGAAGAAGACAAGAATGTTTGCAACATTGTCACATATTCTCTCAGTCTAAGTAATTTTCTCATTCAAGTATAGCCATCTCCTCAACTATACATGACTCTGTTTAACCTCATCTTTAAGAACCTTTTAGGAGAATTCAGCAAATCTCATCAGTTACCCTCACATGGATTTTTTTTGTGTTAACTTTTCTAGTCTTCCTTGTGATAAGTACATTTTCAGCATACACAACAGCACTTGGAAAAAGTTTCATAGGTTCTACCCATTGCACATTTGAAGAAGTACTTACTTGGCTTGTCTGGAACCTGACCTGTCAGCTTTATTTGGTATCCTTTTAGTTTTTGTATTGAAAGAGAGTATGAGCTGTTTCCATCCTCTTAATATAAACTGAGATTTTCAAACTTGGAATCACAGTCAGGTCTTTTCCATAGTGAATTTTCCTGTCTTACTAAGTTCTCTCTCATATAGAAAACCCAGTCCCTTCTCTGAATTTCTTTAAGCATTATGTTCATTTTAGACACAGAAGGACAAGCATTATACTCAGTAATCAGCAGGCAGGTCAACAATCCATTTCTTTAATAGCTTTGTTTTGTTCTCTGTTATTCTCTGCATAATGCCTAATTTTGATTTTCTTTATTGTTGACTACTGAGCATTGAGCTGACTGACATTTCCATTGAACTATCAATCATCACTCGAAGCTCTTGATACCAGACAGGAATCATCAGCTCACACCCATTGTTTTATATGTTAAGGCAGAAGTATTTTGCCCTACATGAACCACTTGTCATCATTTACACCAAATATACTTAAAAAGACAGTATTTGACCTGCCATTTTACTGCTGAGTTTCTCAGCCTCCTGAAGTCCAGCAAACCAGGTGATATCACTCCTTACTCTATTTTCTAGGCTATATATGACCATGTTGAACAGTAAAAGTCCCAGGAGCTGTTTTTTCCCCATTTTTTCCTCATTCTGAATAATGATTGATTTATTCTGCATTCTTTAACTAAAGTTTAATGGGACTAAGTTGAAAAATGCAGTTTAATTTATTTCTCCACTTTTTTTTTTTTTTTTTTTTTTAAATTTAGAATTGTCTATTGATTTAATGCTTGGATCTTCTCTTACACCTGTGCACCTTTTACTGATATCTTTCTGTAAACACTATCAATTCTACATTCTGCAAAACTGCAAGTATTTTGTTTGTACCAATTCATTCTTTACACCACTCTCAACTTATCAACAATATGAAAAGCTGCATTGAGATGGTTTTAATATACCTTACATTTCCTACTACTTCTCCCCATAAATTTTCAATGTTTATTTTTCACAGGCATTTGTCTGAATTTGCTGTTGCTCTTCAAATGCTAGTATTTCATCAGTGCCCAGATGTCTCCCATGTGCCCTCTGAGCAACAAGCACTTGTATTTCCAAGCCAGTTCTCTTTTAACTCTCTTGCCTGGGTCCTTTTCATCTTCTCCCTTTCTGCTGAAAAATATTTTTAAGTTTCTGTTTGGACACAGTGCATGGCATTCCTGTAAAAAATCTTCACTGAAAGACCATTTTTTTTTTTTTAGTACCCTTTTTTCCTGCACTACATGTCTTAGGTAGCTCATCAGCAGCTTCTGCTGTGGCCAGCAAATGAGAACGATGCCTCATCAATAAACCTTTATTCTCACCAGGTATGTTGCCAGAGATAATTAAACTGCATTTCTCGATGGCTTCTCATTTGAGGCTGCAACACTACACTTCAATATGTTTAATTACTTTATTTGATAGTATTCTAAATTGCTTGACTGATTGTGATTCTTCTAGAAAGGCTCAGAGATGCCATGGAAGTTGTTGGAGGGTTGGCTCACAAGTGCACTGTTCGCGCATAGTTCCCCTCGCAACACGGGTAAGTCCAAGGATAAGCGATGCAAACGAAAATCAGATGCAGTCATCAGTGCTTTTCTAGGTACCCATAATTTCAGCATAATATCCCCCATATCAGTATCAGAAATTCAAACTGCTGCTAGTTTCTAACAACTATTAGCTGTTATGTGAGGCACGCTGTCAAACAGATACACCATTTGGAAGATGTAGTACTTTATAAGTACACACTGAAATGCAATTACTAAAAATGATCAAAACCAATGAGAGAGTTAAATGCTCTTTCCACACAGGCAAAATGCTAAAATATCAGTATCAACACATTAAAAAAAAAAAAAAAAAAAAAAAAAGCTTTAATAGAACCAGAATTTTGTCAACCATATTTCATCTTTGAAAAGTTGCCATAAAAATAAAGCCAGCTCTGATTGTGCCTCCTGGTGGTATCAGTCACAACCCTAGTGCTCTGACTATATGTTTGGCTTCCACTTGTGGACAGTGAACAGAATTGAGAATTGCAAACAGTAGCAAGTTCCAAACCTGGGTTATTATCATGATAATTCTTATATAAGAAAAGATTTCCTATCTTATAAAAACTTATTATAATGCCTTCATAAGCACATGTTTATCCAAGTACCAAAGTCATGATAGTCAGTTTTTAGTCAAACCTTACTTATACAAAGTCAAACTTTTGTAAACAGGAACAATTTAGATGGCTATACATTTCAAGGTACATTATCTTTGCCATACATTTCAAAGTACAGTATGTTGTCTACATCACAAATGTTTACTCATTAAATTTGTACAAAGATATTTTTTAAATTAAGAACAGTAAAATAGTTAAAGTGATTTGCAAACATAGAAAGAAAGCAGATGATAAAATCAGTGAGTCAGCAAAAGGAAAGAGTAGCAAGGCAAACAAAGGCAATGAAATGCTGCAGAATTTTATACCATTGGCTGTACTCACTTTTCCCTCATCTCTTGGGCTGTCGCTTAAATGTACAACTGGGCCAGGGTGAGTCTTGGTGGATCTGCAATACAAAAATCAATTAAAATTTGTGAATGTTTTTTGTTGTAAGAAGAGCAAGATACCTCAGCTTCTAGGTGTGCTAACATGTACCTCCAATGGTTTAAAAATAATTGTAAAAAGCCTAACAGGGTAAGGAAAAGTTATAGGTATCTTTTAATGTTCCCCTCTATTTCCTTTTTACCATTAAAGGCAAAGATTCTATTTTCTTAATGAATCCTTCCTTCATTTTTTAAACATCTCACTATTCTTCCTATTACAGTAATTTACCCCCTCATTCTTACAGCTTTTTTGCCTTTCCTATTCTCTATTCCATCTCTTTCTGACCCTCTCTCCTTACTTGTTCCCTTTGAAGGCTAATTTGCTAAGGATTTACAAAGTCTTCACTGGATTCATTTCAGATACTGACAGCATGACTCACCAAGTTCCAATGTCACTAAAGAAAAGGGTTTCAGTAACCTCACCTACACTGCCCTGTTAGGAAGCTTTTCAGCATTACTGCAGCAGGGTTTCAGAAATGGAGCAACTTGCCTCTGTCTGATCTGTAAAGCCTTATCTCATCTTCAGACCAACTAACAGCGTTACACCCACAATACATGTCCAGTGGGGCTCCCCAGCCATCCTGTGAGTCTTTGTAAACCTATACAGAAATTAATTACTGTACTTGAAATCCCCTCCATTTTGACAACATGTATCAACCACGTCATATGCAACTTAGTACTTAAGTTATTAATGTCCAGCACCTGACAGCAAATGCAAATCATAGGAAACTGATTGGACAGATGGAGGTTTTTCATCTATCATCTTTTCTGACCTGACCTTCAGCCCCTGGCAGTCATCAAGAACAAGAAGACAAGCACCAGTCCACACTGATTGCCTGCAGAGGAGGACCTTCCTCCCATCTAAGTTCTGGGGTCAGAGTACACGTCCCTTGGAGTTCAGCTTAGGATCTGAACTTGCACAACTGGTCTTGGTTCACCAAAGGTCATCAAGAAAAAAATACAGCAGAGATTGGCAAAGCCCATAAAGTGAAAAATTTATCTGGAAAGCATACGTAAAATTACCTGGGCTCCAAGTTTTAAAACAATCTGCAAAAGAATTACAGAAACAAACCAAAACAAGCTTCTCCAGTCAAACTACTCAAAGGATTTTTCTACAATAATGTCTTCTTTGTCTGAATACTGCACTGTAGGAAAACTGGCCTCTGTTCTACAGGTCAGACTCCAAATGAAGACTGAGAGTGGTCACAAAAATTCTCAGACAACTCAAACATTAAAACGCTGTAGACTGATCCATAGCCTCATAGGTTTCTCTTTCTCGGAACTGTATGCTCCAACACTCTTAAAAGCATGCATATTCTTCTCTGGCCTCTATACTTTGCCTACATTATGTTTTAAATATTTTGACTATTTTGTCATGCACCAAAGCTGGGTCAAAGCAGAGAGGCAAAGATCCAGACTGGTATTTATTTCTGAGCTAAGGACAATGAAAAATTACTCCAGACATCCTGGAGTTATTCTCCTGCATCAGGTCTCCACCAGCAAGGATTCTGCAAGAGCATTTTGGAGCATATCCCATCACAGAAAAAAGATCAGCAGGAAAGCAGTGGACAGACAGTTTATACAATGACATTCAAGACTGTCTTTCATGGTGCCAGCAGCAAGCACCCATTTGTCCTGAGACATGGAACAAAACCATTTTTACACAGATACAGATAGCAGGAGATCTGGCTGTCACTCCTATACAAGCCATCTTAGCTGAGGGGACCCCTCTGGCTGAGCTTCTCTTTCTGAGTAACCTGTACTGAAATAAAAATATCATTTGGACAACACCAGGCCTTGGAGCAGGCAGCGTAGGTAGGCAGTGACAGGGAACTGGGGAACTAGATGGGTTTGTTGGCAAGCAGTGCTTAGACCTACACACATCATGTACATCTGTCCTGAGGGAGAACATGTGACAGCTTGGGACATTCTAGGCTGTTTCAAGTGTTGTTTCTGACATAGATTCACCTGTCTGAACGGGTCAGAGTATTTTGACGGAAAGAACTAGGTCTGTTTTGAGTATATGCTGCCTATGCAGTGATGGGCAAAGGAGGAAAGGGGAGAACAAGAGGAAAAAACAAGATGAGAAGACACAGAATAAGAATTTTCACTTTTTAGCCAGATCACAGACAGATGACGTAAGAGAGAGCAGAGGCAAGCAAACATCAGATATGTTTCCCCAGAAAGCTGGGGACAAACAAAACGGTAGCAGAAGCACATGGAGGCTGACAAAGCACAATGGGTTGGACAGCTATCCCAGGCCATTGAACCAGCCAGGATGCATGGTTGGATGCTTGGCCATTCCAGTCTTGGTACATGACCAGGAATATTGGCAAAATCATGACAAATGGAGGGAGAAAGGAAAAAAGCATACTGTCTTTCTAAGGCAAAGATCGATTCAGTTTAGCCAGCTCTTTGTACCTCCTAATTGTAAAAGCCAGGAACCATTTAGATAAATCTGTGCAACCAGTTTCATTGAAGGATACATATGACATTGCTTACCAAAGAATGCATCAATTTCTCTTTGGGTAGAAGCAAACTCTTACATGATCTGTTCTCTACTCTTTAGGCTAAGTATACTTTTATAGTCACACAAGCTTGTTGTTCCTCTGTAAATGGTACTAAACCCCTTGTCTTTTACTACCAGTCTTATTTTTATCTTATATTCTTTCAGGCTGTAGCCTCCAATTTCCATGCTAAAAACTCAACTGAAAGGGGAAACCTTGACTAATACAATACATTTTCCAAACTCTTCCATTTTCCTCTTGAATTCATTGTAGTTGGGGGATCCTGGGATTTACTGCATTGTATTAATATTGTAGGGTTTGGGTATTTTTTTCTTAGGCACTTTTTGTTTCTTTTAGGAATATTATAATTTAATTACTATGCACCTAGTTACTTCTTTAGTTTTGTTGAATAACAGCTTTATATACACTATCAGCAAAGTTGATACCAAACACAGCATTCCATGCACTAAATGTAAGAGATTTTTGTTTTCCTCATTGTCTGTCCTCTATGTTTGAAATAAGTATGCTCTTAGTATTCATATTACCTTACTTCTTGTTATTTTAATAATTTAGTTGTTTTGTATAACACCTGGCTTGCTCTGGCTTCTTCCTTTTTCTTTCACTTCTATTACATTTAAGACTGTCAGGTATGCCACTCCATCAAAAGACTCAACAAACCATTCTTTAGTTTTCACAAATACATCATTGGTCTAGGAAAAATAAGGATTCAGGGGGAAGTGGCTTTAGTTTTTGTCTTTGTTTCTCACCATTCTACTCTATTTTAACTGCCAATAAATTAAATTAATTTTTTCCAAGTCAAGTATGATTTCTCCATTGACAGTAGCTGGTAAGTGATTTTTCTCATTTTTCCTTTATTCATGAACTTTTCCATCTTATTTTCTTTCCCTGTCCTGTTGAGGATGGGGAGTGAGAGAGTAGCTGGGTGCAAGTTTCCCAACCAGCCGGGATCCAACCTCCACAATTTCCTTGATCGCTTGAGAGAGGCCAGCTTTCTTTATACAGAGGCAAGAGTAAGTAGAGAGTCTAGTAAGTTTGGCAGTCATAACATGGCTTCTGTCAGGAAAGCAGAAAGGATCCTTTTCAAATAGTTGTATATACCTAATGTGCCATCACAGATAAGATCACACACAGGTGACAAGAGATATTCCTGAAGCTTTTTGGAAGTGTAGAGCCTACTCCTTGGCAGTCCTCCTGTGCTACCTTTCCAGGGCTCCAAGAAACATTGATTTTCTTATACACAGCAAGTAAAGTATTTGCATCAAAACTGATTCCTCTTTGGACTACATAACGAGGAATATTCACAAGATGCAGTAAGCATAACGTTTGGTGTTTGGTTTTGGATGAACACATACAGTCCCATCTTGGGGGAGATGTTTCTGGGACGATAAAATGACACAAAATAATCCCAGTTCAGGTGGAGCAAGGAAGAAAGCATTGCTGTGTGTGAAAGCATTGCAGCTTCCTCAGTTCTGCAAGATCTTTTGGTTTTTGCTCTGAGCCTGCCCGATGGCTGGATACAGAAGGAGTGACATGATAAATCTTTGGTTTGCTTCTCCTGAAGTGATGTTATCTCCCTCTGGGTACAGGACTGTGGCAAGGAACCCAAACCTTATCCTTTGTGCCACACTAAGACCAGGAACTGTCTGCCAAAGGCAGATCAGTGCTTCCCTTCTTGCATCTCCTTGTCTCCTCAAGGAAGGTATGTATAAATAGAAATAACAACAATATCTTTTGGAGCCCTAGGGAAGTGCTGCTTGTAGAAGGAGAGCAAGACATTAGGCTGTACAGTCAATTTCTCTTGAGGGTAGACATCATGACTGCACTACATGCAGGATGAAACAGAGCAATTATTTAGTTAACTATATTATATCAATAACATTATTTTATAGAACCCATGAAACACAATCAGAGCTACAGACACAGTAATTACTGCTTTCATACAGTAAATTGTACTGCATGAGGAAATGCAGTACACAAACTACACACAAACTCCATTTTCCCTCAAGTTGTTTTCATATACATAAAATGTTCTGTTTCCCCTCATTGCTGTTGTATTAAAGTTGTCAAGAAGGTTGGAGAGTTGGACACTGTCATTGTGGAACTGTCAACAAAGAAAAAACCCCTGCCATTGAATTATATTAAATGGAAAAGCAGAGATCTAACAGCTCCTGGAAAGGATGAAGAGGTGCTGCAAAACCAACCAGATTTGAAGCGATTGTGAATAAAGCACTCTACTGTTGATGACAGATACTTGTGTACAGGCATTCCTTCAAGCTGGCCTTGGGGAGCTGCATAAAAACTAACTAGATCCTATTCCTTGAGAAAGTGAAAAATAAAGAAGAATCAGCAGGTGAAAATAAGGCATAAGTGAAATAGTTGAGCAGGGAATTTTTCATTTCCAAATAGCAGTCAGGGTACAGCTGAGAATGAGAAAATAAAAGCTCTGAAAATACACAAAAAGGATAAAACACAAATTCAAGTCAATACTCAGCAGAAAGAAAAAAGAAAAAAAGAAGGTCAAGTCTAAAAACTATCAGCAATGATTTGCAGCAAAAAATTTCTGAAATGAAAGCTAACTTCAACAGAGCAAGAAAAAGTATGAGCTAATGATACAAAACTTTGCAACATTTCATAATCTTTGTTGACCTTTAAGCACAAAAAAAAAGACTGCAGAATTGAATAATGGAACCAAAGATTCCCATGACAGCTGTATAGAACTAAAACTAGGCATTTGCTACGAAGATACTCATACTTTGAGTTGTTTTGCACTTCATCAGAAGTTTTTCCTGACAGCAGCAGGTATTAATTTATTTGGTATATACTCATTTGGGGAAATGAGAGAGCGGTTATGCTGTAAGACATGACTCTTACTCAGAAGAACTGCACTGAAATTAAGACAGCAGTCATCATAAAAGAGTTTTCAAAAGACTTGTAAGGATGGAAGCTTTTATTTGATTATTTTATCCTAAAATTCAAATGCTCAAAAAGAAGTCTTCAGCAATGGTACAATCTGAACCCATCAAAATGTGGAAAATACACAGATGATGTATTCCTCAGTCATCCTGGAATGTTTTATGCACTCTAAGAAATCAAGTGACTTAAATACTGTCATAAGAACATCAAATACCAAGACAATCTTTAAAGCGGGTAAAAGTATGATATGACAAAATAGAATCAAATCAAAACCATTTTCCTTTTAAAAGAAAAAAATAGCCTGCACAATTGGAGAAGTACTGTAATTATTTCTGAGAAGGATAAAAATCTGGTGTTAGAAAGTGATAGAAGCAGTTAGGAGAGGGGAAAAAGAAAGAAAACATCCTTATTAGTCATTGTTATGAAGCTGAAGTTGACTGAATGCGCTGAAAGAAACACATACATAGACAAATACTTCTCCAGTGTCAGTAGTCAGACATCCACCGTTCTGTCTGCCATAAAGGTGCAGTGCTGCATGAAATTTAAGATCTTCTTTTCATTTGTAGAGCCACAGAGAAATTTAAGAGAATGAATAAGTTAGACACACCATTTCATATGATGTAGATCAAAGCTGGGAGTTGGAGTAAGCAAGAATCAGTTTCAAGATGTAACTCTTAGGCATACTTTCTGAAATGTCCAGAAAAAGGAAGCCTTGAAAATTGTGCTTTCTTTGTATTAATAACTTTCTCCATTTGCACACAGAGAGGGTAGCAGATTCTTCCAGACTGTTACTTCTCCTCCTTTGTACTGCTTTCCCTCACTGCTGTGGATCTACTGGCTCTGAGTTTCCATTTTAGGAGATGGGGATGGGCAAACAAAGGGCTAAGGAAGGAGAGAGCCAAGTTATGGCTCTGTCATAATTGAGTTCCAGTCTGCCCAATTCTTTGATCCTTCAAATCCCATAAATTTTGCAGTTTCAGTTATTCATTCATTAGGTAGTGGGGTGTTAAAACACTGGAATCTTACTGGGGGCTTACAATGCAGATTTTTTATTTTTGTAATTCAGAGGACACATATAAAGATCTTTTCCTTTCCAACACTAGATGAGCTTCCCAAATGTATGATCATGCTGTGAAAATTGATCTCATTGTAGTTGAAGTAAATGGAGACATGCTGGGCTCATTGACTATTTTTCTCTTCCAAAGCTGTTTCCAAACATTTGGAAGGAAAAGAGATAAACTGTTTACTTATTAAAGAGTAGAAAACCAAACAGTATCATGAGCCTCAAACCCCTCTGGCAAAGGACTAGCTCTGCTACATGACAGAGAAATGACAAGTGAAAAAAGTTTTGATTTATTCATTCTTAGTTGAGAAGATTGCTTCGGTGTGGCCTGAAGTATTGATTAAGCATGAGATGATAGAAACGTCTGAGGCAAGAATTGGTACCCACATGCTTGTGTTTTTTCTCAGCTCTGTTCAAGGAAGGGTCCACTGAGACACAGACAGTGCACATGATTTAAGAAGGAAACTTTTCCTGTAACCAGAATTGGTTACGACTTACTTCTGAAAATAATCTAAAACAAAAAACAAAAAACAAAACCAAACCAAAACAAACAAAACAACCCCAAAAACCAACCAACCGAACAAAAAATTTTATTTCCTTAGCATTGTTAGCTGTTCAGGCCTTAATTTCTAACTAACACTAGATTCTGTTTAAGCTCACTGAATCTTCTCTCCTAAGAGAAGACCATAGTCACTTATGATAAAATATGTATTGCAATCATCTTTTTGACATGCATCTCCACTAGATGCTTCTGAACGTGGCATAAAACCACTATCACTCAAAAAAATAGTGCTCTAGAGATCTTGCAGATACATAAGTAGACAAGAAAATCACAAAAAAAGCCCTCTGCACCGAATGCCAACTTGGTAAGTAAGAGTAGCTGTGCAGGACAAGATGATCAGATTTCCTGCATCATATGCAAAATCTAAAAATGTTGCATCTAAACCTGTTTCCTCTTCAAGTCTTCAAACTATCAAGCCTCTTCACCTCAGTCTTTCACTGCAACAGAATCGCTGTGACAAAAAAATCTTGCAGTCATTTGATAGGTCTCGCTGGCTCAAAATATTCAATTGTTTCTGAGAATGAGGGTTACACGGAGATTTGATCAGAAGTAGATACAAATCAGTGAAAAGTAAGATGGGGCAATTAAAAGAAAGAGAAGTTTTGCTGGTAGACTTTCAGTTTTAGAAACTGGATGAGAATTGCATGAAGAGGGATGAACTCCTTCAGGCTTGTTAGAGCAGATGATACACAAGCTTGACACACTTAAAATTTTATTTATAAAATAAAAATTTTAAAAATGATAAAAATCTATTTATTTAAATCCGTCTAAGCTGAGGACTTGAATAGAGCCGCAGAGCAATGGCTTTTGCTGGTCTTTCCTTGCCAATAAGTTTGAAAGACATATGATTGCACAAAAGGTAACCCCTTTCCTTCCAAGCTTTATAGAGAATAGTAACATCTTCAAGCTAACCTCACACTCTGAAATGTTATCATTAACTCAGAATTTAACATAATGTTATGAGCACCATTGCTCCTTAGGTTGTTCATGATAAGGCTGAAGATTTTCCTGAATTTTACATACATATATTTTCCTATTTTCTTTCGCCTTTGAAAGCACCTAACATCAACAGACCCTGTGAACTTACACACTCCAGAGCAACCTGATTTTACTGTAAGCAGGAAGTTGGTCTTGAAAATTCTACAGAAGCCTTACAACATGAATTATTTTATGATTCTATAATACTAAAAATGTTAAAAATATGCAAAAATTATGTGAAAATAATGTGGAGATTAAAAATAGAATATACCCATGGCCCAAAATAAAACTGTTCTTTCAAACATTTTTCTCAGTACTATTCTAAAGGTAAGTCTACAATCATAAGCTCATCCTCATGAAGTACATTTAAAGGTAATAACATTTCCTTTAAAAGCTAATCTACATTCCATTTTACGTGCAGGAACGCAACAGTACTGGAACAGACATCAGAGTTTATTACCAGAGAGCATTCAAATTACTTTACTGAGTCACCCAATTTCAGCTTCAGATGGACTGCAGCATTTTTAAAAGTGGCTGCTGTGGCAAACATCGCCATTATTCCCACCAGCCTCTTCCTCTAATACAGAGAAATTAATCTGGAGATACATAGGATCCCCTGTCCACCTGCAAAATATTTACACAACAACACAACTTCCAGAGGTTACAGTTCCTTCACAACATGAAGCAAATGTCTCAGAATCTGCAAGAAGTACTTTGAGCTTTCCCATAGGAGCTCCTCTTGCTGGAACTTCACAGAAGAAACAGCAGAGAAAGAGTTTTTCCTTTCTGTCGAGGCTTTTACTTGCAGCAAGCATAGATGTATCCCAGATTTTTGTATGTCTCTTTCCATTTCATACCCACAACACAGGCACCTTACTTAGCTTGTTAAAAAACTATAATTTAATAGGTTCTCATTATCTTTCCCATCACTTCATCATGTTTTGATCATGTCTGAATTAACCTCCAGATTCTCACTGTGTTGAGCAGGAGGCTTGGTCTAGAGACCTCCTCCTGTCCCTTCTCATCTAAATGATTCCACTGTTCAATGAAGAAAAGTTCTCTGTAGAGTCTTAGGGCAAATATCCTCCATTATTCTCTTCACAGGATGGAGGACATGGTGATCAGGCTTTCCTCATAAAAACAGCAAAATCTGAATTTTAGTGATTAAAGACTTTCTGTATTTCATGGAATTTCATAGTTAAAACCGTACACCATTTTTTTTCCTTTTAAATGAAATACAATTGCATGGTCTCTAACATAAATCTGACTCCTAATATCCTGTAAAAAACCAGTTAATACTGCAAATGCATTCACTGAAATTAAATGCATTCACTGTAATATTTGTGAAACCAAATAATTCTTAAAAATTAAATTTAAGACAGCTATGAAAATGACCACACAGACAAATGAAAAAAAAAAATCTGCACTTACAGTTCTATTGCCTTGTTCCACATGATAACATATCCAGAAAGAATGAAGGACTCAATATTTACAATGTGTGTATTTCCTCTCTCTGTTCCAACATAAAGCCATTTACTCTGGAAAGGTAGATGGCAGTAAGTAATCCTGGAAAAGAAAAAAAACACAAACCAACAAAATAAAAGTGACTGAATACCACATTAACAATATTTTTTAACACTTTTGCAGCTGAAAGAATTATTCTTTCCATTTCATAACTTGAGAAAAGCCTGCCCAGAAGGCATTCTGAAGAATGTGCAGGTTCTGGGGGTCATTTCCAGGAAAATAAAAAAGAACATGAAACAAAACAGGGCCATCCTGCCTGTTGACATTAAGGGCAGGACAAAAGAGAAGCATCACCTGAGCACTGAACTAAGTCTGTCAATCTCCATGAGTATGTACATTGCACTTTCATAGTATTGAAGACTCTCAAAGAAGGCCTTCTTATATCCTTTCTCAGAATAAGCAGATTATCCAGTAAAACAGAGTTTGTGGACATCAGTGGGATTCACGTTTTGCACAACAGAAATATAATACCATAATTCACAGAAGAAAACATTCATTTATTCGCCATCTGGAAGAGCAAGGCCTTAGATAAGAGCATTTACCATAACTGAACTACCACATACACATTGAACCCTACACTCATTACAAAGTGATGAAAAAGTGCTGCATTAGCTTGGAAAGATGACAATTTCTCATGATAATGCATAAAAGTTTTCACAGATGACAAATTAGTAGGTTCAGGTCACTTTTATATTATATAGATATTACATACACTAAAACAAAATCTATATGAGATGAGAAAACATTTGCTACTAACATGTAAGTGAATGTATGCTACCTACAGAGACTGAAACTTAATCCAACCTTATGGTACAGACTTGGAAATTTTGACAAAAAACCAGGTATTTTTCTTGGTATATCGTACGTTATTATATTTATCACTCAGTTCCACAAACAGGCTATTTCTGGCTTTTATATACAAACTCAATTTTTTCTTTTCCTTAGCACCTTCAACCACCACAAAAGTACATACAGTATTTAAAACCATGCATATTAAAAAATTTAATTCTTATAGTACAGCAATTGTTCTGAATTTATTATAAAGGAGTGAGAGGGGTGTTGGCAATCTTTCAGTAATTTGGATCTCTCAGACAAGTAAAGTCCTCTGAGTAGAGCACTTGCTACTCTTTAAGGAATTGTTCAATAATTATACAAATGAAATATACTTTATGTAATGGTTCCCTGTAAAGTACTCTCAACAAACAAAAAGGTTCCAAACAGATTATTCTCAGTATTTGCATAATTCTGTAGTTTTCCAAGTATCTAATAAACTGTCAGTACATTTAATGCTAGATTCATTCAAGTGGGGAAAATTACTTTTTTTTGTAGTTATGCATCACACTGGACTGAATACAATTGAAATATCTAGTCTTCACACTGTAATTTATGGAGAAAATCATTGTGGAATCATGGAACCTAGAATAAGGCTTACCCTTCACAGAAATCTTGTTTTGTGGATTAAAGTGAGACCTAAATATGAGATAGCCTTTGCTCTGTCCATACAGGGCTAAATTTTACCATCAATTTTCTAATTTTGGCAGTAATTCTGGAGCCTTTAGTGGAAAGAGCATCAGCTTTTTCAAGAGAATTGCTTTGAGAATGGGAGCTAAATTTTAGAAGGCATAACTGAAAATGCCTTCAAGCAGCAACATAATACTGATATTGTGGGTCTGTCAGACCAACAGAAGATCCAACAGAAAAAACTGCAGAAGGTATATGCCACCTACATAATCTTTGATAGAGTTCAAGCTACGAGCTTTATTCTTCTGCTCATAACAGGTGCAAGGGACCATTTGCCCTTTTGGCTTTATAGCTTCAAATGGAAAGTTTTTTTCCACATCTTTCCTGATCTTTTTCCTTTAAACTAAAAAACACTCTTTTGCTTTCTCTTCTGGTGCATCATTTCCTTCACTTCTGGTTAAATTCATATTTAGTCCATTTTGTTGTTGTTGTTGTTGTTTCATTTCTTTCATTTCTGTACTACCTCTACTCTTCTTTCTTGCACTGCAAAGCATATGGTGGGTGCTTCATCAGGTCCCAGCTCATAAAAAACTTCCTAGCTAATAAACCCTCTTAATCATTTCAAGTTGAAGATAACCAAACACTTGTTTGCAGTAAACTGTCAAATTACAGGAAGAGGAGATAATTTTGATTTGAAAGTGTTGAAAACGTAGCTGTCTGGTCACTGACAAAAAAATCCTAAGTTCCAAAGTGAGCCCTACTTGACTTGAACTCCAAGTCAAGTAGGCTACTCCAAATTCTTGCAGTAGCGTCACCAAACTAAGCAGGTTCAAGTCCACCTAGGACAATGCTATTTTTCAGTCCTCTCTTAAATCCAAGCACAAGCCACTACAGGGTACTGCAGAAAACTTGATCTCCCATGTGCAAGAATGAATTCAACGTCTTGGTTATGAATAAAGTTTCAACATCACCTCACACACACTGTTTTTTGAGGCTGCTTTGGGCTGCTTTTCATCCTTTTTGAGATTTGCTCCCTCCTCATAATCTCTAGGACACTCTGCCACAACAACCAACAGACAAAGTGGTGGTCTGCATTCTCAGATGTTACACGTTCTCTATTTGCCTGCCTCAGGTTTAAAATTTCAAGAACATAATGCTTTAAGGACAAGGTTCTACAGCAAGAGAAAAATCAGACCAATGTAGTAACTACTAATAGGTAGTTAGGCCAAAAGCTTAATATCTTGCTGGTCTATCTGAAATCCCAGACACTACAACCAGTCACTACTAAGGCCGGACGCACAATATGAAGGACCAAAATAGAATTAGGTATTGCTGAAGGATGAAAAAAAAGCACCACAGCCATGTCTGTTTTCTTAAGCCCAGCTACTTCCTCTTAAATAATTTCATTTTGTTCTGCCAAATTTATGGGACAGTCAGGTAAGAAAGTATCCTGCATGTTCTTTCTTTCACAAACTTCCCTATGAAGTTTTATTGTTTACCCAAACTGTTATTAAACATTATGAAATGTCAAATTATGAAATGTATAAATGTCATTTTGAAACCTTTCACAATGTGTGTGCTTATAAGAAAACAGCACTCCTTAAAGACAATCCAGGTATGTAACAAACCTATTAGAGCATGGGGATTACTAGGCATTTTAATGCAATATATTGCTAGGCTTCACCAAACAAAGCCATATGATTTTCATATTCTTTTAAAACTCTGCACTTCTCCGAAGTAGTTTTATTTTACATTATGTAAATTAATTTCAAACTGCTTTATATATTATAGGCTTTTCACTTCTACAGAAAATATTAACTTGACTTTGAGGCTTGGAAGCTTTGAAGCAAGACTCAGATTTTTAATGAACATCTTCCATCTCAGTAAGTACTGAAATTACATAATGATTTCTTCAAGAGAAAACAATGAAGTCTCATACTGTAGTTTTCATTGGGGATGAAAGGTATTCTATTATATGACTCTATTAGTCACATATCCCACAAGCAAATTAAGATGTCTTTTGATGCCATTACAAAAACGAGTCAATAAGCCAGAAAGAAAGAAAGGCTATTTTTCTTCTTAAGAAGTTAGGGGTTGTACTGAATTATGTCAGTATGAAGTGCTTCTGACAAAGTTTAATCAGATTGTCAATCTGATTGAGATAACATGCAACAAAATTAAATGGAAACTTGAGGATTTTCTCATTGTTGATCACTTAACAGAAAATCAGCCAGAAATGTGGGTATTGTACGTTCTTAGCAGCAAACCACAACATGAATCTTATTGATCATTACAAGAAATAGCAAAAAATTGATGAATTGATTCCAAAAAAGGTGTTTATATTCTGCCAGAACTGTCTGAAACATTGTATAATTTTTTCTAAATGACAAAACAGGACATAGAATATCCTGTAGGATATAGTAATTCTTAAAAAATCAAGAGGTACTAACTGAAACACTTAAATCAGAATTTAGTAAGGAAAGATACTTTGCTAAGATCCTAAAACATAACTTATGTAAGTAATTAAACATATTATTTACATAAATCAAGTAAGTAATAGATATAATGGAATAGTTGAAAGAGGCATCGTCAAGACATTAAACTTTGTTTTAGAAAGGAATATATTCTGACTAACAAATCTTGAAAAGGTATATTTTTCAGAAAATCTCAGCACTTGAGAGTCTAACAACCATGGCCAGAAACTCACTGCATATTAGTAGAATACGACAATGTTAAAATAATTTAGAATGCTATAACCTCTAAAGTATTAGTAAAAACTCTCAGATTACTTAAAATCATCTTTATTATGTTAATTGTATTCCTCTAGGAAAAAGAAAATATATTTTTGAGGACACTTCTTTCTGCCTCTGCTTTGTTATTTTTTTTTTTCTATTTTTAGCATGAAAAGTTTCCTGGAACACTACTGCTGGTGGTGAGTGGGGAGACCTGCTGAAGGGTGGAAAGTAAATAGCATTTTTGTCAAAATGAGAAACAGTTATTCCAATATAATTATTTAGTCGTGCATTCATAGACATCAAAGCTGCAATTAAAATTACACTATGGCTTGCCCCTTTATACAGATAATCTTAAATATGAACAAGCATATAAACTGTGTATTCCTTATGCCCAGCACTTACTGCCAGAGTTCTGTTTCTGTAAGTTCCTACAGAAAAAAACTCATTAGCTTGAACTCCCTTTCAGAATCCTACCAAAATAATCTACAGAGTCCAGGTTCTCAGGAAATTATGGAAATCTCACCAATTTACAGGGAAAGAGGGAAGTAAAACATGAACAGGAGTAGCTGACAGGAAGCAAGCCCAGCAGCTGCAAGACACACCAGTCATGGTCCTGGCTCAGCCCTCTGCTCTCAGTGACTCCTAAGGGACTGCCACTGCCTCACACCCAATTTACAGTGAATTGCCCCAGCACGGATGAATTCCATGACAGAATTCCAGCTGCTGGGAAAGTTGATCACCTTCTTAAGATAGTTAAGTCTATCAGAAGTCTAGCTTTTCACTGCTGTGTTTATGGCTTTTTTCCTGCAAGGAAAAAAGTCCTCCAAGGACTTTCTCTAGCATCCT